AATATTTTTCAGGCTATCAGCGAACAAAATCTTTATCACTTAATTTTAGTACGTAGCTATCTCCACAAATGAGGTTGTGCTATACCAGCGATACTTTCCAAGTAATAACTTCATTGGCGCGTGGTAATAGGTAATTTGGCATCTTAATAGGCCCATTGCCCTGGAGGATTCCTTTATTCTCTGTTAATAGATCGTTTACGACATAATAGGGGGTGGAACCTTTACTGAATTTTGTTTACTTTTTCACAACCCTGAGCTCGAGACTTCAAAATTTTGAACCTTATTTCCAAGTCTGGTGTTCAAATTGAATTAGGCTGAAAATCTAAGAAATAACTATTTCAATTATATAAGATTACCTTTAGGTACTTTAAAATTCCTTTTCAGGTACGTGTGTAGGTAGTTACCTCTAGTTTAGACAAGTACATATTTTTTAAAAGTTCTGTTATAAGTATAATCCCAGTCGCTAATAAGTTAGGTAAGTATAGTTGCTTTAATCATTAACTAGCTTTTACCCGCGGCCTTGCCCGCGTATTCTTACATTTAATCGGAGTAAAAAGCCTATCCTACCACCTAAGTTAGCCCATACCCTGGCTGTATACCAAATTTCATCAAAATCCGTTCAGTACTTTCAGCGTAATTGTCGGAAAACCATCCAAACAAAGAAACGTTCACTTTTATAATATTAGTGTGATGTTACAAATAAAAAAAAATATTTATAATTCACTAATTTTGTTCAACTTGCAACAATAACGAATCGCCACCACTCTTGTGAACCAACCTTTATAAGTGAAGCACTTCACTAAATAACAACTCTTCAAATCCCCACAGGCGCCAGCAGGTATACACGTCTGGCTACCAATATACTCGATACATCGCGACGAGAAGTTCTGGCCAAATCCAGATGTCTGTATTCCAGAACGTTTCTCAAAGGAGAGGAAAGCAGAGATAGTTCCCTATACGTACATGCCATTCGGAAATGGACCCCGACATTGCATTGGTAAGGAATGCTCCTTTATAACTTTGACTATATGGTTTCTATTGTCAATATTGGAAAGGAACTTAGATAAGTATATTGCAGTACAGAGAACTTGTGGGTAGTCTTTAAGTTTTTATAACATGTGTTTCTGATGTAAATAATATTTCGCTTGATCATTCTAGTTTTTAGCTTGTCAGTCGACTGATAGCAAACGCAACTTACGTTTTCAAGTCGTAGGTTAGCATTCCGAGGTTAGTGATGACGTCAAAGTCTTGTGACTTTGTACATTAGGTACTTTTAGCTATGTTTTTTATTTTATTTTTAACCGACTTTAATAAAAAAGTAGGTTCTTAATTGAAACTGTGTGTATATATTTATTTATTTTTGTGCGCGATTTTCCCGCGATTGGCTGAACCGATTTCAATACGGTTTTCAGAAAAGGATTTGATAACTTACTTAGGAGTATATCGATTAACGGACTTCATAAAAGAGGGGGTTAAAATTGGTTTATTTAAACGTACCTAGTTTATAAAAGAATGATTCTGTGTATAACATGCGTGTCGTGCATTAATAAATCAAGATGTTATGTATGTCCCTTTCTTCAGGTTCCCGCTTCGCAGTTCTAGCAGCGAAAGTGTTCCTCGTGAAATTCCTGAAGCATTACAAGACGAAGGCAATACGAGCATCACCACATCTCTCTCCACGCGCTTTTATTCTAAGACCCAAAGACGGATACCAACTTATTGTAGCACCTAGGACCTAGACATTAAGTACAAATTACAATAAATACATTCATAAATATACATTAAATTATTTGTTCGATCGTCATCGCCGTAGTAAAATTTTCATATTGACGCCCAACGTGGGACCAGTAAATTGAAAATAAATTACCTACTCAAATTACAATATGAATTGTTTTCGTGCAATAAAATTAATATCGATAGAACAACAAAAACGATTCAAGTCATTCAAAACTATTCAATCATTATTAATTTTGCATAATTTTAATATGCTAAGCTTTGTAATTTTAAATACCGAATGCAATGTTGCCAGTACAAAATATCGTTTTAAATATAACGTACATACTATTTTTATAGAGCATTTTATGGCCTAATAGACGTTAGAATTATCAAATGACATCAAACAAAAACATTGAATGTTGGTATTGAAATGCAAACAATGCAATTCAAAACACTTATTATTTTCATATAACCATTGTGCATTTTACAATAGCTTGTCGAGAGCTATTCACCCCAAAAATGTAGGTATTGCAAAGGATCCTATTTTAGCGCTTGTAATGAAAAATGTATAGCGGAGAGAGTTGAAGTTTTTAGTTTTTTTTTTTATTGTGATGGGTCTGTAGCTGTACCCTAAAATATTTTTTTGTCAATTTGTGACCTCGTTGATTGAGTTATCGCAAACCCGCTGTATTTGGAATTGAGAGATTTTGATTACCGGAACTGTTTAGTTATAAAATTTTCAATAATAATATGAAACTTGTGTTGCAATAGGTTATTTTTTATTATTTATGCCCAAAATTGTTTTTAAGTACCTTCCTAGCTGGTGACGAATAAGTGATACCTATATTATCTGTGCCTCGGTCCACTTCATACCACCTCATTGAAGCATAAGAAGACAATATATTGGTATGATCACAAAACATATAACTTTATATGTTCTATGGGTGTGATGTTTATCTTAATAATATTATAAAGAAGAAAATTTGTGAGTTTGTCTGTTTATGTAGGTATGTTTGTTACTCAATAACATCAAAACGGCTAAACTAACGGGATCGGTATGAAATTTAGAATAGGGGTATATTATGGTCTGGAATAACACATAGGCTACTAATCTTCCTTTTATCCCATGCGAACACGGGCGACGCCGCCGGCAGAAGGTAGTTTGATATAAATCAAAAGTAAAATTAAATACTTTTGAATCATTTAAGCTGTTTTCCGCGAAGGCTCGAAAAGCTTTCAGAGAATTTTCGACATTAACATGTTAGTTTTATGATGATAATTTATATGAAAACGATGTATCACATACACGGAAACAGGTAGTAAATCGTTTTGTAAGATTAATCAAAACAAATATTTATCTACGTACGTAGTAGTAACAGATAAAAACAATCATAATTTAAAAAACGAACAGCTTTAACAAACCGTTTACGGATCCCCACACTCATTCGCGGTGCAGCGGAGTATAAAACAGAGACAATAGACTTGCGTCAAGCCCAGAGGCAATGGAACTTGCCTGTTACTGTATAGCAATGGCACAGACAATGCGTTCATTATTCCATTTAAATAATGAGCCTAGTGCCGTTACAAATTACTTTGAATATTTTTTTTATGTTTTTGTTTTTGTCCAAAAGATCATAATTACATTATTTACAATATAGATTTTTTTATGGCATAAGCCGGTAAACGAGCAGACGGATCACCTGATGGTAAGCAATCGGCATCCCCCATGGACACCTGGAACACCAAAGGCGTTACAAGTGCGTTACCGGCTTTTTGGGGATCAGGAGTTTGAGGATCGTTGGGGATTCAGGGATTGGGGAGATTGGGGAAGGTGATTGGGCCTCCGGTAACCTCACTCACACGACGAAACACAACGCAAGCGTTGCTTCACGTCGGTTTTCTTTGAGGCCGTGGTATCACTCCGGTCGAGCCGCCCATTCCTGCCGAAGCATGGCTCTCCCACACTTAAAACTAGATAAAATAAACTTGAGATATAAAATCTCGAGTTCGTTACGTGACCGCATGCCGACAAACCCATGTTGTTGAATTGGGGGTTGTCAAATATTTCAGTAAATAGGTAGGTAGGATATCGCCAATAAAACAACATTATTCTTAACAATCGAGGTATGTAAGTACCGTCAAACATTTCACATTTGCGTCTTTGCGTATTTAAATAAAAAGATGGAAGGTACGCCATAGATGTAAGCAACCAATTAAGTCTATAAAAGTTACTGCACCCGCACTTTATTAGGTAGTCAACTGTCATATGAATTTCAGTCGAAATGCGTCTATAGAACATCGATGTAGTGCATCGAGCCCCGCGTTTTAATTAACTGTCAATCTTTATTTCACATTGATTGCGTGTCACATTCACAAAACCTCGAATGAAAAAATCAAACGCTTCTTCTGAAGTACGTGTTTGTAATGAACTTCGTGTGTGCCTATATAAATTATGTACAATATTTGTGTGCGTTTTGTATCGAACAATATGCTTATACAATTTAAACTGTCAAACACCAAGCGGTCACCGGTGACCGCAACCTATTGTTCTATAATTGTGTCTATAATGACGGTGCTTGACGATTTAATATGCTACACTGTAAGTATATAGACATATTCCTAAGTATAGGTAGAAATACTTAGACCATTTGCAGTTACTGCTACGTGAGTGACTGCTAAAATGTATTTCGTTATTGTTACTCTTCCAGAGATAGAAATCAAACGAAACACTTAATGGGAAGTAATAAGAGGTGCCCATGAACACCACCAAGTTGGGAGTGTTCGCTCAGCCTCTTATTCGGCACATTGTACACACGGCTACACATCGAGCTTTACATAACTAGTATAAACTGAACATTAAATATGCGAAAAGATGATGCGACGTGACACCGGAATAAACTGGTTTTGTATAGATTGATGTGTGGCCGTGTGTATGGTTGTACTTCAAATACAAACTACCATTACACACACTTCTTGTTCTCTTTATTAATATTCTTTTTTTATCAACTTAATGGTATCTATCGATCTATAGTAGATATCGTACTGCTTTTATCGAATTGTTTACGACGCGCATTATTCAATCTAAATATGATTTAACAAAATCAATAAATAATTAATGAAAAACATTATTTTTCTTGCTAAACAGTAAACATAAGTGCATAAAGACCGTTATACGAAAACATCCTGTGCGTGACGTGTTAAACGTTAAGATTGTCAAATAAACGTCACTGTCACTGTCAACGTCATCATCGAACGAATGATCAATGAAATTTTCTGGCGCCAAAGTTGTGTTGGTTGTTGACTTATTGACTGTTTCTGTGAAAGTGCTTAGTAGCGTTAAAAATGTTTTTTTCTATTTTGTGACAATATATGCAATTAAACAAATAAATACTATCAATATTCTATATCATCTCAGTACTGAAACTATTACTAACATAATTTACCGACGAATTTTTTTAAATATACATTTTATAAGCAGTACGACCACAACAACCGCGCTTTCAAGACAAAAGGTTAGTTTTACAAAACATATTGACCAGATATTTCAATATATCGATAAAAAGTATGTTCTCTAACAATAAAATACATTTGCAGTTAATAATTTTAACCGTTGAATGCTAAAAATGTCAAATATGAAGAGCATTACGAATGCCGCACGAACAGTACAAAAGAGACCTTTCAGGGTTTCTATAGAAGGCAACATCGGCTCTGGGAAGTCAACGTGCATCAAGTTCTTTGATAAATATCCCAACGTTGAGAAACATGGGGTAAGTGCTACAGAAATTTGGTAAATTTAGTAGCAACCTGTATTTGAAAGTCGCCTTTTCGAGTATCGTGTAATTTAGATTGTTTCCTGCTTACACACTTATTTGCACCAATCTCATTTGTAATAATCTGACTACAGAGTGTGCCATACATTTTGGAATGACACAGAAATATTTTCTATCTTCCAGGAACCTCTAGATGATTGGCGCAATGTCAGAGGTCACAACCTTCTTGGACTGCTCTACAGTGACTTAAACAAGTGGAGCTTTGCTTTCCAACACTATGTGCATCTGAGTCGTCTAAAAATACAAACCAGCCAGCCTTGTAACCCGAACATCACTGTTAAAATGTTTGAAAGGTAAAAGGTTGCTAATGTTTTTGTTTGACCTTTATTTATTAAAGATAATTAATTAAAATAAATTAGTACCATATTCACAGCATCTGATTAAGTTCCTATTAGCCTAACTGACAGGACAATATTTTAAATGATCCATTCTCATTTGAATATACAAATTGGACATAATCATGTCCTAAATAATGACCATCATTTTATATGATACATTTTTATTTTTCAGATCAGTACAAAACAGCAGACATTGTTTTGTGGAGAATGCCAAGAAGCAAAACTTTTTGGAGGATCCTGAGTACCAGACACTGTCAGCTTGGTTTGAGTACTCTGAGAAACATCTTGATATTAATTTAGATCTCATAGGTAAATCTTATACTTTCACTTATGACTAGTACACATTTTATATGATTTTTAGACATTTATTTAACTACTAACATCGGCCTGTGGCTTGACTCGATTTCAGAACTACCCTTGTTCCAAATTTCATCCTGATGTCTTCAGCTGTTTTAAAGTGAAGGAATGACGGGCAAACAGACATACGAATTCTCACATTTATAATATTAGTATGATTATTATTCTGACTGTTGTAATGGAGAATTGTATTGCTAATGTCACTGAACAATGTTTTATTCAAATGTGAAATGGTTTTTCAGTTTATCTAAGGACAACTCCTGAGACGGTTTATGAAAGGATGCTGAAACGTGGTAGAGCTGAGGAATCTGAAGTACCTTTAGATTATTTGAAACAGGTAATATTGTTTGCTCAATAACAATTTTTCTTTTTCGACCATTCTACCAACCAGTGGCAATAACAAGATTGTTATAATAAACAAGGCTGTAAAAAGCTCTCACTAAATACTAAAATCAACATCAATACATAGTATAAAACAAAGTCGCTTTCGCTGTATGTCCGTATGTATGCTTAGATCTTTAAAACTACGCAACGGATTTTGATGCGGTTTTTTTTAATAGATAGAGTGATTCTTAAGGAAGGTTTGTATGTATAATATATGCATATTGCACCCGTGCGAAGCCGGGGCGGGTCGCTAGTAATAAATATAAGAAAAATGAACTTAAAGCTATTTATTTTATTTATATCAATTTTCAACTGCACAGTTGGTCTGGTGACTGGTCAACAATGTTTAGCATGTTCGATTCCTGCATAGAACAACTCTTATGATTCACAAATTGTTGTTATAAGTCTAGGTGTCCTGTGTATATGGAATTGAATGTTTGTAAACAAACCACAATACAGAGAAAATCCTAGAGTGAGGTAACATTTAAAAAAATAAAAATTCTTATATCACAGGTCCATGAATCATATGAAAACTGGCTGAATTCACCAGACGTAGGGTGCGAAGTGCTGACAATTGATGCAGATCGAGGCCTTGCCTGCGTAAAAGAGGATCTTGAAAGATACTCTTACAAGATACTTGGTGGTAATCACACCAATTAAGTTATTTATTTTAGGTTCCTTATTTTTTATGTAGTATTATTCCTTATGCGGGTCTTAAAATACTGACATTTTTAGTCATAATGTACAAATAATATTATTTTAAATCATATTCATATTTTTTATAACCAAAGTTATCATAAGTGATAACTATGTAATCTTTTCATACAAATAGTGACTTGAATTATTTTCATTAATATTATTTAACTTATAATGGACTTCAATTTGCAATTGATTCAATAGTTATTTATTTATACTATAAGGTTGAATTTTGTTTGCAACCTTAATGAAATCAGAGTATTTAAAACTTTTTATTTTCGTTTCAAAAGCTGGCTTTTGCAATAATCTTGTTAGATGAATTACTTATCTATAGGTACAAATGACTGATATAATAAGGGTTTTTTATTTAAATTATTACTTTTAATTTAGATCAAATATGTGCGACGTATTTTCTTGAAATAAAACAATGATTAACTGAGATGATGTTTTAATTATCATAAAAACAATATAATTTAATATTCCTAATTCCTAGGCCTATTTTGTATATTTAAGCAGGATTTTTAGTTCTCTTTATTGCATATAGTTTGTGTACTGTGTTGATATTCTACTCAATTTCAAAATAGGTCTTGGATGTGCTATTTACACTAACGGAAAAAGTTATTTGTTCAACGGTAAAGGTGATCAGCCCTAATATTGGTTGCGATCTCACTCTCCCATTTGTCACCGTTCGATAGGAGCTTCTCCTTGTTGTACAAGAGTTCCTCGTGAGTCTCGGTCGAGAACTCAAAGTTAGGACCTTCTACGATAGCGTCGACGGGGCACGCCTCCTGCAAAAAAAATTGTTTAGATCAACATCAGTCTCAAGTGATAAACATTTTCAAACTCACAACAACTTAATTACGCAAAACCCAAAAATATTACAGAATTTTTTACAATAGACTAACTCCTATAATCAAAATAATATAATTATCCTAGGCCTCAATTACGTAGACGTCGCGCGGTGGGTGGTTCGTCGTATATTACCGTGGCGGGCCCGGGTAAGCGTCATCGCTCGTGTAAAAACAAACATGAGCAATGTTCCTCTGTCAGTTTTGTCAAAAGGCCATCATGTAGGTACCGAACAACGCGCTGCGCTGTGCGCCGCATGCTGCTCCGTAATCGAAGCCTAATCCCTCATACACTTTTGTACTTATTTATTTGCCTTCAGCTTGGATCATAGTTGGCTGACGAGGCTTGGCCTGATTAATAAGTAGGAATTTTTTTATAAGCCCTGCAACCTGTGGAGTACTGGAATTCTACTGTCTCTCATATATCAGCAATCAAGTGGTTCAATTAAACTAAGAAAGACTACATACCTGGCAAAAACCACAGTAGATGCACTTAGTCATGTCAATATCGTAGCGGGTGGTTCTTCTAGAGCCATCCTTACGTTCTTCAGCCTCAATTGTGATGGCCTGCAATACAATTGAGATTTCTTATTTAACATTAAAATGCAGAATCAGTTATGTTGTACTGGTTGATAATTATTATGTTCACTAGAATACATACAACTATGTAGATACTAGATAAAGTGGTAATATAATAATCAGCTTGAGATTAGATCAACAACATCACAAATTTAAAGATGTTAGCCTCATTCAAAGATGAAATTATTATAGATTGGCATTATTATTACAACCCATGTTATACCGAAATGCAGATCTATGTGTGACACAATGTGTTTTCTATTGTGTCTCATATACAAGAGGTTAAAAATGTATTCTAGTAAATTTATTCTGGATTTTGGGCTAATAAAATTTAATCAACCACTGCATTGTTAATGTAGACTTATTTCAGACCTTAAAAGTTGTATATTACCTGAGCAGGACAGATGGCCTCACAGAGCTTGCAAGCAATGCACCTCTCCTCACCAGATGGATACCTCCTGAGGGCATGCTCTCCTCTGAAGCGAGGGGAAAGAGGTCCCTTCTCAAAAGGGTAGTTTATGGTTGCTGGTTCCTGGAAATAATCAAAAACATGTTCTGTAAAATAACTACAGTATGTCTGTCGTGGACATGTGTGACGTTGTTGGTGGAGGTTTAAGACGCCTGCTTCTCATGCAAGACTGTGGGTTCGAAATCTACCAACGGCAAGTACCAATGAGACATTTTCTGCGTTATATGTACTTTCTAAGATTATCTAGACACCACTGACAAATGGTAAAGGAAAACATTGTGAGGAAACCTAAGCTAATAATTTCTATTTTATGTTTGAAATCACCAACCTCCATTGAGCAAGCGTAGTGATTGATGCTAAAACCTTCTCCATAGGAGAAGGGGCGTTGCTCAGTACACAACATTTATAAGCTGTTAATGATGATGATGATGTCTGTTGTATGTTTGTAGCTAAAATGGTGCAATCTGAGGATGACCTTTACTCACTACTGTGGTTTATGTGTATTGTTTTGTGATAGTTCTTTTTATATCTAAGCTTCTGAATGGCATAATTAATTTTTTACAAAATCATGTTAACAATCTTCTTTATTTGTAAATAATACTTTATTATTTCCGTTATTTATATCATTACTTTATGAACAAATTGTATTGTTAGCTTTAATTTATTTAACAACAGATTTATAGCATTTTTATTTCTCATCAGAAATTTTAAATTTTTTCAGGCTCAAAAGCTACAGTTTTCAGTTTTACATTTCCTGACAGGCTGTATTTCTAGATTATCTGTTAGAATAATCTTGTACTGTTTACCTTGAAGATATGAGCCAGGGTAACAGCAAATCCTCTAGCAAGTTCTGTCCAGAACAATGTTTGAGCAGCCCTGTTGGACATCTCCTTCATGGACATGTTAGGGTCCTCAGCATTCACATATTTGTAGCCAGGTATGTTGGGCGGGTACACCTTCTCCACTTTGCCTTCTGTACTATACTGGGCTTGCCTCGCAATCAAGCTACTGGCCCCAGTAGCACGAACTAAAAACAAAACCATCATCAGGATTCTTATTCAAATTTATGGAACACAATATTTTTACGTCTATTTTACACAGTTACAACGTAACACTTGGCTATAAATAAATATTTTTGTATTGAAAGTAAATTAAATAAATGTTTTTCATACAGTAAATAAGAATATTTGAATAGGTTATAAACAACAATTGCGTAACAGATTATATTAATTTCCGTGAAGTTACTATTGGATATTCACAAGAAAGTTTACCTCGGGAAGATACAGAAAATATTTTAGCTAACGACATTTTTCTAATTACTAAATACTCGCTTTTATTTTCGCTTTTATTGATTGCGATATGCGACTTGCGAGTGAAAATAAAAGCGAAATGTCAGAATATCTGTCAATCGCGTCATAACGCTGTCAATGTCAAACAGCTCGCAGTCTTGCTGGCAATTTTGACAGTTCAATATTTCTACACCACAGATAATAAATAATATTCTCTAAATTCTTGGTTGTCTTTTTCACTTTTATCCGTTTTACGTTTTACTAACAATTCCAAATCAATTAAATTTTTGTACTTTAGAAAACAAGTGTCAACACTTCCTATTATATTTACGGAAATAAATTTTATGCAGACTTTTTTGTTCGGAAATCCTATCACTATTCGTGAATGTACACACGCCACCCACGTCAAAACATTGGAATTGAAGTGACGTTTACACATTTTAGGATCGGTGCTACAATTTTGCGAAAAAATCGCCACGCAGCATGGGAGATGCATCAGTTTCGGACCCGGAGTCCAATAAACCAAGCCCAGGAAGCGAGGCACCCCCCGAGCTGGTAAATTCCCTCCTGTCATGTTTCTGAAATATGAGTTTTATAGTAAGTCATTAACGATCCTTTATCGTTGTTCAGGACCGGCGTCCTTTCGGCGATTTGGAGTTCCAAGTTTCAGAAGTAGTAGGCCGTTTAGAGGCTGGAGTTAACGCTCAGGATGTTCAAGATGAGGAAAAGAAGCCAGAGCCTCGAAAGATCAGTGCTGGTTTCTTTGAGCCAGAAGAAACATCAATGGATGAGATTCTGAAAGTTTTGGAAGACTTGGTGTTGAAGACAGACCCTAGTTGTGAGAGTGTAGAGCCGCCGCTGTTGCCGACAGATGCAGTGACACGAGCTGCGATACTGTCTCACAGTATATCAGCTTTATTTGGAAGGTTGGAGCGGAGTCATGCAGCAAGACTTGGTGCTCACATTGCCAGTGAAACAACAAGATGGATGTCTCATATGTTCAGGTAAGAAAGTTTTCTTATTGGTAAATAACTAGAATTAACTAACACCTACAAGTATAAAATTGTCTTAAAGTAACACCTATAGGCATAACAAATGTATTTAATAAATGCTACTATTGTAATAATATTCTACTCCATTTATTCAATGACATACACCTACATTACAAATGAATATTGCGTACAAAGGAGTTGTTATTTGAATGTGTGTTTGTCATTGACACTTATGGTTTTAATAGATGATGATATATCATTACTTATCATAAGTACCTGTTTCAACAAGACTGTGTGTATTGTTTGTAGACTGTTATGAGTATCTGCTATAAGTAAAAAATAGGGTCAATGAAATTATAAGGCCTTTGTTTTTTGGTAATATTTTTAAATGTCAAGATTTTGCATCCAATACGTACATCACCTCATGCCTGTCTCTCAAGGGGGCGGCAAAGAGTATAGAACGCCAAATGCTACACTCTCACATACCTATTTTGCTTCCTCAGCAGTCATCAGTCTATTCATGTGTGCTTTTAATTTGGCCCTTATTTAATATAATGTGATGCATCTAATAACAAAGTACACTTTTAAAACATCCTTTCACAGTCCACTACTGACCTGTTGTGACCCTCTTTTATGTACTAAGTTTTATCATAATATTCCATGCTTAGACAGCGGATATTGCAGTTAAAAGATTCAGGTTTTTTTAAAGAATACTGCTTCTCAGTCACTTTCTATTGTGCAGATTTTAATTGTGTCTTACAATAACTGTGTGATAGGAGAAACACACAGTTTATTAGGAAAATAGGTGTAATTACACTTCCTCGTAATTATATCTTTGTTCCTCAAACATATTGTAAAATAATGTAGTAACTAATGAATGTACACATCTTTGCAATTTAGAGCATAGATGTGTGACTGATAAATTAGTGTAGTTGATAATATCTGCTATTAGTGTTATCAGTCAGCCTTGAGAATTAATTGAAATTGGATAAGAAGTGACTGAATGAAAGGACTGCTATTCATTTTTGTATTGCATCAAAACTCCATTACTTACATACTTTTTATTAACTATAGGGCTAGGCTGAGATTATTTTATATAGTTAGTTAAATAATTATTCCCGCACACAACAAATTGACTTGTTCTGGTCGATCTTTTGATTGTAGCATGATGGTTTTTAACCTGTTGCCTACCTCGATTAAACTGTCAAACACCAAGCGGTCACCGCAGACCGCAACCTATTGTTCTTTAATTGTGTTTCTAATGACGGCACTCAACAAGGTCTATCCAACACAAAAATAGTTATTCAATTCGACACAGTAGTTCCTGAGATTAGCGAGTTCAAACTAACAAATAAAAAATCTCTTCAGCATTATGAATAAGATTTAATGTAACACCCATTTATCACCAGCTAGGTTTTATCTTTTTGAGTTTCATGCCATAAGGAGTCCATATAGCCCATGTAGGTACCGGGCACAATTCCACAACTCCAATAACTTTACCTGACTTGGAAAACTCATCCAAAACCCATTGTTTGGCTATTGTGGCGACATGTTACATGTCAACGTATGACGTCACAAAAATCCTACATCGCACATGCAAATTAACACAGATTGAAAATCCCAACGAACAACTGTTGGGCAGAAAACCCGCCAGGCACGATCACCTCTCCTGGTCGGAGGATCCTCCTTTTCCGATCTTAGGGAGCTATAGTCTCTGTTCCCTAAACTATCACACTTATGGCTACTCTTGCAATGACACGACTCTGCGTTATCTCTTTGGAAAATAACAGGTGTTTTAAATATGTTATTGTTGTGACTAAGAAAGCAATAAATGTCGGATTACGGTTTTATCATTCCTTTAATATTTGAGAGATAAAGTTACACTTGCTACAAATTGATCTTTAGGATAGATACAAACAATACCTACGTATTTATGATTACAATTACATCATCCGTATATTATACGCATGACTGAATGGTTGGCGTAGTGGCTCGGAAATTGACTTACGCCACGTGGCGCGGGGTTGATTCAGGGACGGAACTAGTTATTATTTACCGGCGGCATCGCACGCAGTCCTCTGGGATAAAAAATGTCCTATATGTTACTGTTACTACAGACCATAATCTACTCCTGTTCCAAATTTCATCTCGATCCCTTCAGCCGTTTTGACGTAAGCGAGTAACAAACAAACAAACGAACACACAAACATACAAACATTCGCATTTATAATATTATAGTAAGACGTAAGATGTGATCCATAAGTTATTGTTTCAAGTGTATCTATGATACAGGAAAAAATTCTGGTTTAGAACCGCGTAAAAAATAGCTACAAATGATATCACAATACGAAATAAGAGTTTTCATAATTAATCATTCGCCATTAGTACTTTATGCCATAATTCATTTTAATGGTGATTTTACAGCGTGTTCCATATACTGATAAGGAAATTTGTACTACGTATGAATTATGTTATTTTTAACTAACTATAAAAGAGAAATGTGGGTCAGTATGTTGTATGTAAATTGAAATAGCGATAGCATGTTACGAGCTAAATCTCAGTAGATATTGTATAGCCAGGATAATTCTAAATGGTCAAGTTAACTGTGTAAACACATATATACTATTTCGTAACGTAACATCACGCCTTTTATCCCCGAAGCGGTAGGCAGAGGTGCACATTACGGCACTTAATGCCATTGTATAATGTAACACCCACTTTTAACTATTTTTGTTATGAGTCCCATGTAATAAGGGGTGAGCCTATTGCCATATACCGGACACAATTCCAGACTCCGTGCTATTACTTTCTGAGATTTATTAAAAAAAATACTATTTCCTTACCTGAAATATACTAACTATCCGATTATCGAAAAAAAAAAAGAAAATTTGAATTTCGCGGGCTACCCTGAAACATTTACCTTAAACTGTCAAACACCAAGCGGTCACCGGTGACCGCAACCTATTGTTCTATAATTGTGTCTACAAAACCGGTACTCGACGAGTTAATAGGTAGTCACCAGGATATCACACAAACACTAAGTAATGATTTTAAAACCGCAACAATGCGATAAAGCCTGTGTTTATTGCGTGTCCAACTGATGCATAAATTATGAAGGCCACAACAAGACCAACCAAGGACCTGGCCATGAACGCCTGTATTTCACTTACCTAGTTAGGCCTATTGATTGTCATTTTTTACATAAAAATTAAGTTTGCGTAATAGATATTCACGATCACCACCATTAGGGAGATATGAAAGAATTTTGCTATTTCTGAAATTCAAATGAAGTATTCAAAGATAAGCGGAGATATTTATAAATGGGATTCGCTGAGTACTTAGGTATAAAGTGCGACTAAACACCTATCGTCGTTATTTCTGGAATACCTATAGTAAAAGAAGGAAAATTACATGTATAATATTTTTCATTGCTACATTTGAACGAACAGAAAAATATATTAAAGTCATTATGCCAGAGGCCTTAGTACGAGTTTAATTTACGTTTAAAGTATTCGAAACGAGTACGCGTTCGGCACTCTGAGTGCCAAGCACGAATAACTATCGCATTCGTAACGTAATAGCATCGAGCGCGTCCGGCGCTCTGATTGGCCGGCTCAAGTGAACCAACCAATCAGAGTGCCAAGCACGAATAACTATCGCATTCGTAACGTAATAGTATCGAGCGCCTCCGGCGCTCTGATTGGCCGGCTCAAGTGAACCAACCAATTAGAACGCTTAACTCGTCGAGTACCGGTTTTGCAGACACAATTATAGAACAATAGGTTGCGGTCACCGGTGACCGCTTGGTATTTGACAGTTTAACCCGCTCGATACTGTTACGATACGAATGCGATAGTTATTCGTGCTTGGCCCTCAGATTGGCCGGCACCAATGAAGCAACCAATCACAGCGCCGAACGCGTACTCGTTACGATTACTTTAAACGTAAAACAAACTTATACTTAGGCGTCTGTTGTCGAAGCTTTCTAATAAAATTAAAAGCATTTAACAAAGCACACACACATAATAAGTACATACTGCTATGTATACAGATATTCAAACATCTCACGGCTTCTCATCAATTGCAAATAGAAAGCTGACCAATTTTATTGCTAAAATGCCTAAAGAATTTGCAGAATCTAAAGAAAACAGATTTAAACCTTACTTCTTTATAATAAAGTTAAAGCTTAATATACATATTGGTATTTGTTCATAATACCCATAAAATTCCGATCCACCATGTCGTAAACCCAAGCGTACTATTTCCTACCTACGTATTTAAATGCAAAAACCAATTCATGCAATTCAAACACTTATTTTTCAGACAATAAGGTACCTATTACCATGCAAATTATTACATCCATGAGGCGTGTAACAAGTGTTGTTTGTCACAGTTTCACATACATTTAACATGTTAGTGTAATTTATTCTAAGGAGGCATGTAGGTAGATAATGTTTGTGGGAGAAAGGTATAACATTGCGAAGACCATAGTATCAGTCCTTTAAGGAAAAAGATACATACAAAACATCACGTCTTTTATCCCCATAGGGGTAGGCAGAGGTGCAGATTACGACAATTAATGCTACTGCACAATGTAAAACCCACTTTTCACTGTTTATGTTGTGATATGAGTCTCATGTAATACGGGGTGAGCCTATTGCCATATACCGGGCACAATTCCAGACGCCTTGCTACTACTGAGTTTTTTTTAAAACCCTGTAATACTTTGCTCAACTCGGGAATCGAACCCCTTGCCCGACAGGCGCACTTCGGCCAACGAGGCAGACAGAAGGAAAAAGATATGATAATGAAATCGATTAAGTATTTGAACATAGGAAAACCCAATAAGGCTACCAAGCAGGTGCTTAGAAACCAGTTCTAGGTTCGATCGAACTTTTACGGCTGATCTTAATAAAGTACTTGTGTCAGTCTGACTATTAAAGATAGAATTTAAACATTGGCTTCATACAAAATCTGTCACACACAAAGTTCCATATCTAGTACCCATATCAACGTCGACGCATTTAATTCAATAAAAACCCCATACTGACACGTAGAATTGTCCGCCAGTCTGTTTGTTGGTATCCACCGACTTATAAATATAGAGACAGGTCACTATTGCCGACTATTGCGGTGTAGTTCTTAAAATCGCAAGGCAGTAGGTAATAGAAGGCATAATCAATGAAGAATTAGGTATAAATGGTGCTTAATTAGTCCAATTTTTACAGTCGCAGTCGATCCAATTGATGCAATAATCACTGGCATACCAGTGGCCAATTACAGCTACTATTTAACTAGCTTGATTAATAAACGACTGAAGAGTATTTTTTTTTACTATTATTTGTCAGTCACAGTTTTGTATCCTAATAGTCACCTAATTTATAGGGCGCTGTGCCCCGTCCCTGAGTGACTTCTCATAGTTTAATAGTTAAATAACCTAACCTTGACTGGATACTTATTATTATTATTACTCGCTAGCTGTACGTCGTTTGTCGCTCATGCTCCTTTTGACTATGGGGCCTAACATGGCTTAAAACTCCATAGTCAAGTTACTTAAGTAAAAAAGCCGTACAATAATTAAATAAATAATTTAAGTGTGGGAGAGCCATGCTTCGGCACGACTGGGCCGGCTCGACCAGAGTGATACCACGGCCTTCCCCAATCTCCCCAATCCTTGAGTCTCCAACAATCCTCAAATTCCTAATCCCAAAAGGTCAGTAACGCACTTGTAACGCCTCTAGTGTTTCAGGTGTCCATTGGTGACGCCGATTGCTTATCATCAGGTATCAAGAGTAACCTATGGAGTTTCTTGCTCGTTCTTCTCCATAGGAATCTACGCCTTGGAATGAGCAACTAGCTTCACTTATAAATTTTTGTTGTTTGACGTTCAAAGTGCCATCCTGGTCTAATTGAAATAAATGATTTTGACTTTGACTTTGACTTTGATCCGGATGGTAGTTTACCGGCTTATCCCAAAAAAAATGTCTCATGATTATGTGATAAAAGAATACTTATTTCTATTTACATCCTAACCGTGATGTCTTGTTCCAGACTAGCAGACTACAATGCGTACTATCACCAGGAACAGCTGGAGGGTCTGGTCAGAGTTACTCGAATGTTACTGCACCACAGATACCCAAGGTACTTGGAGGATGGAGGTAAGTTCTTAGTTATTGCTTACATATTCATACTCCTCTTTATTCCACACAAATGTTTTTTTTTTATTTTAAGTTTATGACTGCCTCGTTGGCCGCGTGGTCGCAATTGCGACTGCCCGGCAACGGGACTCGGGTTCGATTCCCAGGTCGGGCAAAGTATTACTGATTTTTTAAAATTCTCAGTATTAGCACGGAATCTGGTATTGTGCCCGGTATATGGCAATAGGCTCACCCCCTATTACACGAGACTCTTAACATAAATTACGAAAAGTGGGTATTACATTGTACAATGGCATCAAGTACCGTATTGTGCACCTCTGCTTACCCCTTCTATATTATGTTTATGTTTTTTATATTGTTTCTAAAGTATTACTGATTTTTTTTAATTCTCAGTTTTAGCACGGAATCTGATATTGTGACCGGTATATGGCAATAGGCTCACCCCCTATTACACGAGACTCTTAACATAAATTACGAAAAGTGGGTGTTACATTGTACAATGGCATCAAGTACCGTATTGTGCACCTCTGCTTACCCCTTCTATATTATGTTTATGTTTTTTTTATATTGTTTCTATTTTGCTTTTTAACTGTAAGGTATTCTTAGATTATTTTTATCTTCCCACGGGTACCGTAAGAGCTAACCTTAGTTAGCTCTCATGTCTGAGACTTAGGTCTTAAGAGACATGAGCTCATGTCTCTAAGACATGCTGCACATTTAGTAAAATCAAGCAGCAGTACTTTCTAACAAACTTTGGACCTTTTAATTCTAATCTGTGACTTATTATTATGATACCTGTAGTAACAAGCGACAAGTGAATTGAAACATAGTGTAATACTAAGTTTGTCCCAAACGAACCAAGTCCATAATAGTGTGGGAGAGCCATGCTTCGGCACGAATGGGCCGGCTCGACCGGAGTAATACCACGGCCTCACAGAAAACCGACGTGAAGCAACGCTTGCGTTGTGTTTCGTCGTGTGAGTGAGGTTACCGGAGGCCCAATTACCCTCCCCTTCCCCAATCTCCCCAACCCCTGAATCCCCAACGATCCTCAAACACCTAATCCCCAAAAAGCCGGTAACGCACTTGTAACACCTCTGGTGTTCCAGGTGTCCATGGACGACGCCGATTGCTTACCATCAGGTGATCCGTCTGCTCTTTTACCGGATTATGCCATAAAAAAACGAAAAGTTATCACTAATTTCTAAAACCACGTCCAAACAATTTTACCAAAATATTTTCCTAAATATTCAACAACGCATGTATGTTCTAGCGCGTGCTGGTATTTATTTGTTCAACCGCTTGTACGTTACCAACATTATGTATGGAATTCGTACCTAACTACCTAGAACATCGGCTTATCTCAGTTAGATGAAACAAAGCTTCCGATGACGTCACCGTATCAACGACGCGAACATAATGTTCGCATATAAAATAACTGAGTTAGGTACTAAATTCGTACTTCGTTGTTAGAATATGTAAATGATGATTCAGTATTTGATGACGTAAGCCTCGTCTAGTACGATGTAGTCTAGCCTAGTGGCTAGATATAGATAGGTCGCGGAGAACCTAACGGGTTACCGGGGCTCCAGCTCAACGTGCAGGAGAAGGAACGGGGTGGTTTTTAGTCAGTAAGAGTCTGACACTCCCTCCCGCCTCACCTAGGCGGGAGCCGTTATGTGATGATTTACCCCCCTTAAAAAAAAGGCTAGATATAGGCAATCTTAGCTCCCTTTTTAAAGATGGTTTATAGTTTCTATCTTCCTCTTATTCTTCTATTAATCCCTGAAGAAGCGGCAGAGCATATTATTAAGTGTAACACCCACTTTGCGCCAGTCTTAAGCACCACTTAATAGTAGGACCTGTTATCATCCTGTTGAAATATCGTACTCTAAATTTGTTCATACAAAAGTAGTCTCTAAACACCGGAAATAAGGTCTATAATGAAGTTAGTGAAGAGCGGTCACCGGTTACCGCTTCGGAATGTATATCGAACACAGTTTCAGAGTCCATACCATAACTGATGTATTACAGAAATCGGAAATCTTAATAATGCTTTAACCACTGCATAAACGACCTTATAACTGTCTGAATATGGTCATAATTAAATTTTAAAAATTATTGTTACAGCGATAGCGTTCACAAATCGCTTGCCTTGCATATACAGCTGCGTGGCGAGTCCACTCGGCGTGGTGCAACACCTGTGCAGACAACTTGGCCTGCCACTAGCATGCGTCAGACCTGTGCCAGTACATCCATCAGGTAATATATGAACTAATTACTAATTGTAACAAAAGTAATTCATAAAAATGGTTTTCTGTCAAGGATTAGCTTTTCATCTGCAGTTTCTCCTGCATGGTCATACGCCTCGACTGCCTCGTTGACCGAGTGGTCACAAGTACGACTGCCAAGAAGGGGTCTCCGGTTTGATTCTCGGGTAGGGCAAAGTAATACAGGGTTTTTAAAAAAAAATCTCAGTAGAAGCACGGAGTCTGGAATTTATGTATATGGCAATAGGCTCACCCCCTATTACATGGGACTCATAACATAAATAGTGAAAAGTGGGTGTTACATTATACAGTGGCATAATGTACACCTCTGCCTTCGGGGATAAATAGCGTAATGTTATGATGAGGTCATACTCTTAGCTTATAAACCTTCTTCAGGAATTACACTATCTATTATTTAAAATCGTACACAAATCCGTTCGACATTTTTTGAGTTTATCACGTACACACACGGATATAACCTTAATAAAAAGTGTAATGTGATTGTACTAGAGGTATATACTATTTTAGGAATTATTTTTACAAAACCTAAATACTAAAATAGTTTCGCAAGAAAACGATACAAATTCAAGGTTGTTTAAAATTGAGTACATTGGGTTAAACCTTTAATGTTAACCTTGACAAGATATGATCTAACGAAGTGTATAGCTATTGGCTATAAGCCAAGCACGAGTGTAAACACCTGGAGAACATTATTTAATTTGGTTTATAATCTGCACTATAAGGCTGATTACACATTATGCTGCTGCGGTACTGCTGTCCTAGTTCTAATTAGTTCTATTTATATAGAGCAGCTGCGGTAAGATGATCTTACCTATGCCTATCTGCAAATGGTGATGATGCGGCATATTAACAGCGATGCGAGCTAACGATGATGATACTAAGATTCACCTCGTCCAGGCGCTGATCTTGCCTCTCATTGACTATGCAGATGCTTGCTATTTGGACGCCACAGAGGAGCTATTAAATAAACTTGAGCGTTTACAAAATGTATGTATCCGTTTCGTCTTTGGTCTTAGGAAGTTCGATCATATTACTGAATTTCGTAACAGGCTCAAGTGGCTCCCAATCCGTCTTCGCAGGAACACTCGCATATTATGTCTCCTCTATAACATCCTGTTCAACCCAGCCTATCCTACTTATCTCCGAGATCGTTTCTCCTTGGTGCGTCCTCCTGAAGTCCTTACTCGTTCTCATCTTAAATCCTATCTAAAAATTGTGCCCCATAATACCAACTTCTACTCCTACTCCTTCTCCGTTCATGCAGTGAGACTATGGAACTCACTCCCGCCGAACATTCGGGATGCCAAGTCAATCTCTATCTTTAAGAGACAAGTGAGAGAACATTATCTTTCCTCCTGAAATATAGATCTTTTTGTTTTTATTTCTTTTTGTATAATAGCATTGTATTAGTTTGTTTTATTGTTTATTATTGTTATTTCTATCGGTTTCTTCGTTATTATTATTATTTTTTTTTTTTATTGTTTGTGTAACACACTATGTGTCTCAGTGTTATTATATCTTTTCCTGCCACAGGCCCACAGGAAGAGATTCCAGTTGGAATATGTGGGGCCTATGTACTCTGTTTTTATATATGTGTTGTCCTCTGTGTTGAATGTGTGTACATAAATAAATAAATAAATAAATAAAAAATAAAATAAATACCGGTCAAAATAAATAAACGAGAGATCGATTTTCGACATTTATTATTAGAGTAATATTTATTTGCAATTAATACATTCATTAGGTACAAATTATTAGGTGTTACAAAATTTTAAGGTTCCTTGGCATTCTACCTTAATTGGCATACGTACATTTTAAAAGAATTTACTAAAACTTATCATCAAAGAATTCTTGTACTGAGTAATAACACTTGTCCAATTAGTTTTCTTTAACGTTGCCCCACACTAGGATTTTCTCCTGTGTCGTGTAGTTCCAATGAATTTCTGTCAAACACCTAGATCGATGATCGTGATTTAAATTTCCATAGTATTAATTGTATTTCGTAATATAACTATGTAGTTATTGCCGAATAACTTTAATAGCTGTTAAAAATGGTCGAGTTCGGCATTTCCTCTCTGACTGCTTTGGCCCTTTAGCCAAACGCCACTTTTGCTCTTGTCTACAGAGAGAGTAAAAATCAAAATATATGGGGACACTGACAAGTGTCAAAATTTACACCAATTCCATATAATTTGGTTTTCTATTCTACATGTAGACAAGCGCTAAATGGCATTTGGCTACAGCTGCTACTTTGAGCAGAAACACCGAAACAAACTCAGATCACTATCGCATGCGTAATGAATGTTGTTTGTAAATACATATACTTCGTTACAAACAAGTGACGTCAGTTAATTAGTGACAATACAATACAGCTTACATCATCGGCAATACTAAAAAATCTTCAATAAGATCCGGTTTTTTCCTTTTAATTAAATCTTAAATACTTATCACACATTGGAGCCCAAATGGTCCCTTACATTTCGGTTTCAGAGGCCTTAGTACGAGTTTGATTTACGTTTAAAGTATTCGAAACGAGTACGTGTTCGGCAATCTGATTGGCCAGCGCCAATGAACCAACCAATCAGAGCGTCGAACGCGTACTCGTTACGATTAAGCGTAAAACAAACTCGTACTAAGGCCTCAGAGGAATTTCCTCTCACGGACCCTCTGATTGTGGAATGAACTCCCTGCCAAGGTTTTCCCGGTGGGTTTCCATATTGAAATATGGGGTTCTTCAAGAAAGGAGTAAATAGGTTCATTGAGGGTCGTCAAAAGGCGCATGTAATGTCCAATGTGTTCCAAGCGTTGATAGGCCACGGTAACCACTACCATCAAGTGGGCCGTGTGCGTGTTTTGTGGTATAAAAAAAACTTAAATAGTTATTGAACATCTCTACACTTTTTTAAGTCTTTGACTGCTGACAGAAAACTGTCAAAGGGTGATACACGACGAGTGATTTACGCTACGTTTAACGTGTTTATTTAATAAGAATGAATCCAATCTACTTCATTAACTAAAATTCGAAGGTTACTCACGTGAAAATACTAAGAAAAGCTCTACTAGTTTCGAACCACAGAGGGGTACTTCCTCATGAGCAGCGTGCGCGGTCGCGAAGTTGTCGCGAAAGTACGCTACGCAACGCTACGATAGTTATTATTAAAAATCAATGTACTTCATTTAACATAATAAAAATATCCTAAAATAGATTTTATAATTTTGTCACTACTTAAATTGTTTTATCTAAAAACGAAGATTAATCCTATAATTTGTATATATCAGGACTGAAAGTTTTTTCTCGAAGGAAAAAACCCTACTTATAAAATAAAGAATAAAAAAAACAAAGCATAATGAAATTATATTGTTTGCTTGTTTACAAGTCAATGAATAACTTGTTTATCCGCAGGTCGAGGAATGGACATAGAAGCTCTAGAAAAACTATACGATGAAGATATAAACGCGAATAGAACACCACTTTTAGTGCTGGGAGAGGTTGGAGCTCCACCGCTAGGATGGGGGACTCCACTGGCATTACTTGGTGAAATATGCTCTCAAAGAAACTTGCACTTACATGTTAGAGGGCATGCGCTCGCGTTGCCGGGCGCCTCGTCCAAAGATGAGGTCAGTAATTTTAACATTTTATTATATTTATGACAATTATTGATAATCTACTCCCTAAAGCTGAAAAATAACTTGATTTCTTATGAAGAATCACATGAATAATTCACTTACTGATAGACAATGACATATCTAAGCACAATCTCCTCCATAAATCAAGTGTTTTCATCTTATTGGCGCTAGTGTAGCTAAGACCCCTTTTTCAAATACGAATTTTTAATTAGCGTCAATATGCAAGCACAAGAAGTCTTAATTGGTTTCATACCTACATACTTACTTAAGTAAAAAGTAAAAGCTTAATTATTACGTTTCTTTCTACCATTCAAGCCCAATAACAATTCTATATAAGTTTCGTGTATTTATAAGATGTTTATTTTCAGTCTTTCAGTATACCAGATTCGGTGACTCTCACACCTGGACCATGGTTCGGTGTTCCAGGACTGCCAACTGTTGTATCCTTTACAATAAAACAGATAATCTAAAATAAACTCAATGTAAACAACGATAGACTTTATATTTGAGTGTATTTCTGTATAGCAAATAAGTAAGTTAATACCTTCTTGAGTGTTCTGCTCTCCTGGTACTTCTATTATATACATATTTTGATTGAACAAATTTTCTTAATTCCTTTTGTTCAGACGTTTTACAAAATACCGGAAGCTATTACAGCTAACGACCAGTCGAAAGTAGTAAGCGCTGTAAGTATTCATTTTGATAACATTTTTTTTTAAAGCAATCACAAAATGTGTGTCTGTGAGACAATGCCCAAGACATTAAGTCCGCCTGTACATTTGTTATTGTACTAAGTCTTAAATAAATAAATAAAAATGTGTTGGCTTGGTGGCTTAAGACCCCGAGGTTTAAAACCAACCAACCAAAGGCAACTGCTAATGTGAGTTTTCCGAGATAATTATATACTTTCTAAGATTATTTAAACACCACCAGTGGTAGAAAATATCATGACGAAACGTGAGCTTATCATTTCGAATTATAAATTTGAAATCGCCAACCTGCATGAGCAAGCGTGGTGATAAACACTCAAACCTTCTTCGTGTGAAAAGAGGCCTGCAGGTCAGCAGTAGCGGCTTTGGGCACTTATATAGGCTGTTTGATGATGACATGTAAGTAAGCGGTAGTTTTAATGATTAATTATTATTGTTTTCCAGGCGGGTAGTAGAGAAGGGGCCTTAGCAGCTTTAGCAGGTTTGACAGGCGGCGGAGCGCGTATCCCGGCGCTCCCTCTGTGGACGTGTATACGCGCGGCCGGCGCGAGGACGTTACAGCAACGACTGACGGCCGCCTTCAGGTCCGCCAGGGCAGTGCACGCAGTCGTGGCTAATGCAGGGCTTAGGTTACTGGTATGTGGGTTTTTTTTGTTTTAGTTTCAAAAGTTCTTTCCATTTTAAGTCTCGTAAAAACCTTGCTCAGATCGGTTTAGAATATACTAGAACTCGCAAAACTGTAAAACGTGTTGACTTTAGTTAGAAGTTTCGCAGTTTTGAGTGTATTTTTGTAATTTTTCACAGAAAAATGTTGTTCTCAAGAGTGGGTTTCAGCTTGAAACATACGACTAATGACTTAACGGTTTTAATCTTAAAACAATTTTGAGATTATTTTCATTTGATAATATAATTAACTCATTAATCAAGTTTATTTTAACTATTTTCATTTACAGAGTGAACGGCCCGGTGGAGATGAACCGCCAAATGTAGGAATTGTGGTAAGTTCAAACCCTTAGCAAAGTAACATTGTTATTTTAAATTATATTTATAACATAACATCACGCCTTTTATCCCCTAAGGGGAATGCACAGGTGCAGCCACTTTTCACTATTTATGTTAAGTGTCTCATGTAATAGGGGGCTAGGGGTGAGCCTATTGCCATATACCGGGCACAATTTCAGACTCCGTGGCATTACTGAAATTTAAAAACCAGTAATACTTTGCCCAACCTGGATATCGAACCCAAGACCCCTTCCCAGGCAGTCACACTTGCGACCACTCGGCCAACGAGGCAGTCAGGCAAGTTATGTTTAACAAACATTTATAAACTATTATGTTGTTTGACAGGAAGCGTTAAGCCACGCGTCAGCTTGCGTAGCGTTTCAGTTCGCGCCGCCAGGCACGGAGAAACCGCCGCCATACTACGACAAACTCAACTCTTGGCTTGGACAGGTGCTACAGAGAGAGGCTGACATGGTAAAAATTTTACACATTCATTTTAAACTATGTACTCTTTGGTTATCTCACTTTCATCGTAAATAAGTATAGTAATAAGTGCTTAACTTCATTAACTGGCAATTCCAGTTTAACATGTCAAAAGTATTTGTGGATTAATTAAAATAAATACTGGAGTTACCAGTTAAAATTTTTTTCACACTAACGTTTGTCTGATGCGGGCGATCGATAAACGTATACACCGCGCAGACGCTGCGACTACAGCGTATAGGCGTCTGGAAGGGAATCTTAAGTCGACATTGACTTCAGTTTGTTAAACAGATATATAATTAAGTGGTATTCGTCACTCATGCAGATCATAGAATACTGGTAGTTTGTAAGTCAGGCACTAATTTTTGTTACCGTCATTCGATGGTGATTCGATACTGCACGCATTCGTTTCGAGTACAACAAGAAAAGTACTACAATAGGGAAGACGACTAATTTTTTTTTTAATGTCCGTCTGGTAGATTATTTAAAAACATTAGACACGTATTTTTTATTTTCTTACGGAAACGAATAGTTTCGAAGATATATTGATTTGAAATGTCGCGTGACGTCACTTCTCAGTACATTTTATACTAAGAAATGACGTTTTAGCCCCCACTCCTAAACTTTGATTCGTTTTATCTAAGTATTGTTTTATTATACAACAAAATAAAAAAATACGTGTCTAATATTTTTTTATTACCTAAGTTACGGACTAATTATATTTTTAATTTTCATACCCTGTCATCTTCCCCATTGTATGTTCTGTATGTTACTAGATCAGTATAGAAGTATGTGAGACTGAAGCCCACGGGGTGGTGCTGCGGTACTGTCCGCTTGAGGGCGCGGGCGCGGCGGAGGCGGGCGCGGGGGCGGGCGCGGGCGCGGGTGCGTGGGCCGCGCTGCTGGAGGCGCAGCTGCAGGTGCTGGGCGCCACGGTGGCACTGCGCGACACGTTCCACGACCGCGTGCGCGCGCGACACCCACTGGCGCTCGTACACGTGCCCGGCTGGGCCGGTGAGTACTGACCAATAACGCCACGGCATCGTCAGCTGTAAAACAATACGGAGCCGCGGAAGACTTAACGGGTTGCCGGGGCTCCGGCTCGAAGTGCAGGAGTAGGAACGGGGTGGTTTTTAGTCAGTAAGAGTCTGACACTCCCTCCCGCCTCACCCAGGCGGGAGCAGTCATTGGTTGATTTTCCCCCCTCAAAAATAAGCTGTAAAACAATAATGACTAAGAGTAAAAACTCTACCGCTCTTATCACTTGATATAAATCCCCAAAATTTGTTCATACAAAAGTAGTCTCTAAACATCGGAAATAAGGTCTATAATGGTGTTAGAGGAGAGCGGTCACCGGTCAATTCAGTTAACTGATCTATCCCCAAGACAGCTTTGGGGATAGATCAGTTAACTGAATTGCTGCTCGTATAACTAAACCCTTTGAAAGATTTTGAAATTCCGAATTTAGTTTCAATACTGACACGAAACAGGTTTCGTCAAATGTCTACATCGTCTTCGTCGTCAGGGCTACATCTGCCCCGGAGTTTAAAATTCTTTTACCCATATTCCAGTCAAATTATATTTTTTTTACAATTAATGTGTAGTGTAAAAATTAGTTTATTGTATTTTCTTAATCTTTGATTAAGATACAGTTCTGACGCTGTCAAAGCCACTGACAGAAGTTAGTTACTTTATAAATAAATGTTTTGTGCAGGTCTTGGTGGAGTCCGCTACATTCCCCCAGGCTGGGAGGAGGCAGCGCCCGAGGAACTGAACTCCCTCAACAGACAACTCGTGGACACGCTGCGGGCCACGGACGGAGCCTTCTCCTGCGGGGACGGGGAGGATGGGATGGCTTGCGTCAGGTCAGTCACGATAGCAGTTTGTACGTCTAACATTCACGTTAAACGCGAGAGAGCCATACGAGACACGAATGTGCCGGAGTACCACGGCCATTTGGAAAATCGTTTGCGATGTGTATCGCTATTTGAGGTTTTCGGAGCCACCGTGCTGCACACACTCAAAAGGTCGACAAATTACTTTTTTAACCGACTTCAAATAAGGAGGTTCTTAATTTATCCTGTATGTGTGTACGTTTGTGAGCAATTATCTCGCAATGATCATGGTACAGCTAAAGAAATGGTACAAGAAAAATGTTTGTTACACTTACGAAAAGGATTTTGTGTATTAATTAAGCGACTTTATAAAAAGGGGTTGAAAGTCAATTTTTTTTAAATATATATAAAAGAATTAATGTGATGGGTTGATATTTGGATTTAGTTGTCTGAAGAGTGATAGAAGGACATCGCAGTAAGCAGCAATACTATCCGTTCCTAGTGTCATCCAATTATTAACTTTGTCATAATTAATACAAAGTGAAAATATTAACCGCAGGTTCGGCATGGTGACGGAAGACACAGATGTCGATGAGTTACTGGACCTCGTTATATCTGCTGGTAAAGAAGTAGAAGAGAGCAGCCGAGCACTCACCAACATGACTGAAGTATTGAAGAAAGGTAATGCGAGCGAAGTGTACCGATTATTATGCTCTATGATTGCTAGTCTTGCAAACTATTTCTTTTAATTATCAGCAATAAGTGTCCACTGCTGAGCAAACGCTTCTTCTCGTACGGAGAAGGTTTGAGCATTAATCATCACGCTTGCTAATGAGCAAGTTTGAAATCGTGAACCCGCCATTGCGGGTTCACGATTTCAAACTTGTAATTAGACATTATAAGGCCAGATTTTCTTATGATGTTTTTTTCTTACCGTTGTCATTGATGTGTAAGTAATCTTAGAAAGTACATATAACTGGGAAACAGTCACATTGGTACTTGCCGTTGGTAGGTTTCAAACCCGCACCCTCATACATGCGGACGTCTTAAACTCTGGGCCACCTCGACAGTTTTACCTATTTCTGTTACTAATATTTTAACGTATATTATAACATATAAGCACATTGTTACGTGAATATAGCGTCGAAACTATTTTGTCAGGTATCGAAGAAGCCCAGGCGGACTTGGAGCGCGAGAACGCGGAGCGGCTGTGGCAGGAGGGGCTGCTGCGGCGCGTGCCCGTCGTGGGCCGCGTCGTGCAGTGGTGGGCCCCGCCCCCCCCGCCCCCCCGCCCGGCCGCCGCCTGCACCTCGCGCACGGCACGCTGCAGACCACCGCCGACCTCTACAGGTACACACTCGCTCATGTTACGTTGGTGGATTGATCAATTGTACACGGATTTATTACAATAATGTGCAGGGCGCACGACGTGTACACACACTTGGACTATGACAGGTAGACAGCCGCGTTAATGAATAGTGTTCTACCTTATATAACACATATATTATAGTGAGGGGGCCACTACTTACTAATTAGTGATGTTCATACATGTAACAACTCACTCACTCACTCACTCACTTTACTCACTCTACTCACTTCTTGATCCCTCACCCTATATACACTCACTCACATACCAGTCTACACTCGACTGCATGGTTGGTGCGATGGTTGGGCAACTGCTGCCGCGCAACGTGTCGCGGGTTCGATCCCACACGGAGCAACTGTTTTTGTAATCCACAGATTTTTGTTCCGGGTCTGGATATCACTTGTATATGAACTTGTATATTTGTAAATGCACCCGCGATAAAGAAGAAAATCCTAGTGTGGGGCAATGTTATTAAGAAAAAATACTTAGTCCTAAGTTAAAAGGAAAGTATTTGCTTGCCTGTGCCTCAGAAAATGCAAGTTCAGTTGGTCTATCGTCCCATCAGAGTGCTTGGCACTCTGATTAGAGAAGTGATAAAATCAGATTATGAATAAGCAGAAAAATAACAGATACTTTATATAGTTTATCACATCTCTCGCGTAGTAAGCCAGTCTAGTTACACAGTCACTACGGTATTCGAAATGGATCGGAAGTCTTAATCATTCATGTTTTTCTATGATGAATAATACTCTAATTTATATTATTTTCTTCTGCAGCCGCGTTCAAAACAAAAGTAATTCAGAGCCTGCTCGCGCGCACTCACCGATGAGACAAACGCAAGCCGCTGAGGAAGAAGAGTAGCTAGTAATCAGTTAAGTGTATGCCCATACCTTGGTCCAACATTATGAATATGCAAGTTTGTATATACAATGTTGGCCAAAATACCCGACCAATGCCTTGGCGCAACAATGTCGTCGCGTGCCCAACATAATGGCTATGCAAGTTTGTACATAAAATGTTGGCCAAACTATTCGACCAATGTCCATATGCTTGCAAGATTGGTCTGCAAGCAGATGAGGAAACTGCAATCTAACCTACTAACTATTCGAAGTCAGTCAAACTGACGATACCAAAGATTGCGTATTTAATTAAAATACTATTATAATTTGTATTTACTAGTTTATTTGTATTGTAAATTGCTGCAGATCTCAAAAAACACAAATGTTTGTATTATTGTAGAGGTGTTGCAGAGTCACGGAAAGCCGCTCTGTAAAGGCAAAGAGTATTAGACATCGTCGGCTGTAGCCAAAAAGTGTTCATTCAGCTAATATTGAATATCAAAATTACTGTATGAAATATTTTAAATATTATACATTAAAAGTATCGCGACTGATTTCAATAATTTGGAGTTTAAATTTTAATATTTATAGCAGTCCAGGAAAGGTTATAGGGTAAGAATATGTGAAGAGTTTTCAAGGGATATAGTAGAAGCATCAATTATAATTTCCCATATAAATGGAGGGCTTAATATGAGTTTGTTTTACTTTTAGAATAATCAAAACGAAACCGCATTCGGCGCTTTGATTGGATAGTTCATTGGAACCGGCCAATCAGAGCGTCGAACGCGGTCTCGTTTCGATAACACTAAACTTAAACTCGTACTAAACCCCCTGTTTTATGAGTGACATTAGATATCACGACACATTAGTTCAATTTTATGGCAATAAAAATGTTCGCGGGGTCAGCTAATTAGCAATAGATATTAGTGTAAAAAGTTTAAACTATAAGGCTAATGTTACAAGCGTGTATAAAGCCTTAGTTATTAGTGATACGTCGATTCAGAATATGTCAATAAATAGAGTGAATTTGAAATCGGAGTCGGTGCTGTAAGCGAAATGGAATTTAAGCTACTGTCGACTGACAGAATAAAAAAGTCTTCGTTTAGCGTAAATCACTACATAGTATAAAACAAAGTCGCTATCCACCGTCTCTCTGTCCCTATGTATGGTTAGATCTTTAAAACTACGCAACGGATTTTGATGCGGTTTTTTTTTTTAATAGATAGAGTGATGCTTAAGGACGGTTTATATATATAATACATGCATATTGCACCCGTGCGAAGCCGGGGCGGGTCGCTAGTATTGACATAAGTCAATGACTATCTCATACAATTTTCTATTCTCTCAGTCGACTAGCGCTTAATCGCCATTTAGCCCGGACGCCATGTATTTTGAGACGCAGTAGGGTTATAGAAGCATGAATTAAAGCTTAGGAGTACTAGGACAACAGAAGCCGTAACATCTTGGTCGATATTTAAATCTGTGGTCAGTGTAATTCTGTTTAAAAATGTGTAAGACTGATAGATCGCGTCTATCTGACAGCAGATTTTCAAAATACGTGTCATATTTTACTGGCTTGATCTATCGAAGAATCTAATATTAAATGCGTCAGTGATGAATTATTTTTAAACCTGTTTCGACGCCGTAGTGTTGGGATTAGAAAATACATATAGTTACTATCGACTAACGAAGTCGATGGTATTATTATTTTCTTACATTCATGATAACAGCTGTAATTAACTGTAGCTTTTGTATGAATAGTTCTAGAACACTATAAACGTCTTAACATTAGACAGGTTTATCAAATCACATTTACAGTCTAGGCAACTGATTATAGACTGACTCAAGCAATGAGAAATTGGTAACTGCTATATTGCAACTGCAGCGAAGCACATTGAAGATACATTCCACCGATAGATGGCGCTGAAAATAATTATTCAATAACTCAAGACTTATAATCGGTTGCCTAAGCTGTAAATTAAGTTTGGTGACTATTTAAAATAATGTATAATGTAATTTATGGTCCAGTAGCTGATCTTAGGATGAAAATAATGGCAATATTAGTAAGTTATAGAAGTGTACAGATGTTTAAATAGCATTATGTAACATTAAGACTTACTTTCGACGTTACTTTGTAGGGGTGATGACCAAAATTCTTATTATTGTTCGTCTGCTATATGAATGTAAAACATAAGGCACGTATCTTTTAATTTCTTACGGAATTAAAAACTTGTGACGGTTATTGATTTGAACGTCGCATGACATCACTTTTAACTGTTTGATTCGTATTATTTAAGTTATGTTTTCTTATACGGCTAAATAAAATATGCGCGTCTAATATTTTTTTCATTATTTAACTGGCGAATTAATTAGATTTTTAATTATTATTCCCTGCCATCATCCCTGTTGTCGGTTAGAAGGTGCTGGAATTATGTCGTCATCTAGTGCTTAGTGTCAGTCATTAGATGGCGTTTGTGATGCTAAAATGGTGGTACAATATTGATGTTTCTCACGTGAAAAAATATTAAATTAATTAATTATTATTTACTTATTTAATCGATTTCCATTTTATTCTTTAATTATATAATACAATATGATGTCAGAATGCTATTTAGGTTAAAACTTTACAAAAAAAAATGGATCGGATATCTTTATAGAGGTAAGTTGGCATGTGATTTTTAATTCAATATCTATTTTAATTTGCTTGTAAACTTGTAAACAAATTCAATATTGGCCACTGAAGAATGTTACGCATTAAATTGATAAGGTACTTACAAAGTTAGGTAGATAAATTAATAAAATAAGCAATATCGATGTTTATTTCGCTATGATATAGTTTCATCTAAAGCCTTTAGTCGCGAAGTCAGTACATAGTACAAATAATGTCTGTAACTTCTTTAGCTAGTCTGATATAATAATATGACTAGCTTTTGCCCTCGACTTTGCGCATAAATATCACAATAATTTCAGGAAATCGTTTCTTAGTACTCTCGCATACTGAAAGAATTATTGACGTATAAACAGTGTCTAATACACAATAATTTTACATTAATCATGCCAGGAATTATGTTTAAAATTCACAGAAAATAAATAATAATTAATTATCACAATTTATTTGACTTATTCTTAAATAATATGTGCATGTATAATTTAGATTTTAATTAATAATATACGTGGTTGAATTTACTTTTATGTTCTGTCGGGACTTCATATTTCATACATCACATTCAGACCTGGAAAAACAATTTACGAACTATTTCAATTACGTAAATCAATACCAAGCACATACTATTTAATTAAATTAATTAGACACTACAGTTTCCGTAACGACTGACGAAGCAACGCGCATGCTGGTCATGATTATGAGCCCCATCGTAGCTTGAAATTAGTCGAGTAAATCTCGAACAGTTACGTATGTAAACAATAGTGTCTAATTAAAGCGTTACGATTAACAATTGTTATTTTACTATTAGATTATTCGAAATATTTATTTATTATTGTATCATAATCTTGTCTTACCTACAGTTTACAGTTTAGAATTCATTCCAAGCCGTTTAGTTTAATAATAGTCTGTATAATTGCGAAAATCTTTAATTTGTGTGTATAGCCATTAGCACAGTACAAATTTCATGTAATTCTTAACTTCTCCATGCTCAACTTTGGTCCAAATAAAACATACGAATGTCGTAGAAAGATGTGTCGTAGGATGACCATATTTTTTTCCTGTTCCGTAATGCAGTAGAATACATAAACTATTCGAATGTAGAATAATGATTTATTTTAAAGGGGCAACTGCGATGATCAGAGTTAAATAAAAAACTGACGATATACAATTAGTTTTTGCATTTAAGTTATGTAATGTGTCATTTCTGAATACATTGAGGCTTGTTGCCGCCGTGTCTTGGCAGTTAGAGTTAAAAAAGAAATGATTTTTCAAAACTCCAGTCGATAGTTTAAATTATTAATGAAACTTTTCACGCCATTAGAGATTCAAATGAAGCTTGAGGTGTTTCGTCTACAGAAAATGTCTGGCGTGGCGCAATGCCCCCTCGGCTACAAGCATTTGGCGACCCACGTAACACGCCACGACATACAAGTCCACGCAGATATATTTCCGGCATAAGACTAATAAATACCGAACATCACTAGCACAACCTACTAATTTAAAAAAATTTTTTTTTGCTGGTCGCCATGACACCGCGGCTATAATGCCTCCTATACAGGTTGCAAACGGAACGCTCATGAAAAACGCTAAAAGTTGAAAATAAGTTTTAATTTCAAAAAAAGTATGGAATTCAATGTTTCTTTTATGTAATAATAATTGTAATGTCGAAAACAAATACGATTAAAATTGTAAAAACAATTTCTTTTTGTCAGCGTTTCGGGAAGCGATTCGTTTACACCCTGTATACTATTTTAAGATAGGAACTTATTATTCAATTATCCTGTAAAATTAATTACCTAATTAAGTTATTGAGTGATTAAATAATAAAATTATACATTGTTAATTATTTGTTTGTGTGCTATTTTCACCTTGACCCTATAAAAAAAGTTAAGTAGGTATCCATCAAAATGGCGGGTATGATAACGAAAAAAATTATACCAGGCACCAAAAATGGACTTTATAATTATAACCTACTGAGATTTAACCCGTCATGTGTCTAAACGCAGAGCCACGTGAGATAGTAAAAAGAAAAATAATTATACTTTCTTCGGAACGACACTATTTAGAAATTACAAGTACTCCCGCCATATTAAAAGATGTTACCGAAAAAAAAAACATCAGGATTTTCAAATATGATTTGACCTTTTTATGTCCCAAATTCATCTCCATACATCTCATAAATTAGGGGGCAAAGTTTCTGTGCCATTTCATCATATGGGGAATCCTTTTCTATTGTCTTATTAGAAGTCATTTTGTTCCATAAATGATGAGTGTAGGCATCGGAAACGTTCTGCAATTTTCCAGTCTTGAAATAATCGTTAGATTTGGTATAATGGACTGGGTAAAAGTATTCTGGGCCATACACTTCGAGACCTGTAAATAATAATAATAGACGAATCACCTGATAGTATGTGATCAGCGTTGCCGTCGCCTATGGACATCCGCAACACCAGAGAAGTCACAAGTACAAGTTTTTACCTTCCGTGTGTCTAAGACGTGGACCCACGCTAGATACAACGTATTTTCTATTGTGTCTCATATCGGTGCATTCAAAAGGTTAAGGATTAGGTACGCTCTTTTCTCGAAGGTCCGAAGATATCATAATTCGCATCCACGACACATAATAGTAATACTGATTACCTACTTAAAATGATGTAATTTCTAATTTAAAGGCGTTCATGGGAAAAGGTTTTTTTTAAGGGGTGAAAATCATCGAATGAGTGCTCCTGTCTGGGTGAGGCGGAAGGGAGTGTCAGACTCTTACTGACTAAAAACCGCCCCGTTCCTTCTCCTGCACGTCGAGTCGGAGCCCCGGTTACCCGTTAGGTTCTCCGCGACAATGGAAAAGGTTTAGAGACCTTATTTACGAATGCATAGATTTACCTTGACATGTTTTAGCAGACCATTCGGTCGGGTCGGATGTATTGCACATGCGGTGTAGTACTCTCGTCATCACGCCTGGACCATTATTATTGAAAACATCAGGTTTAAACGTCGTTTTCAGTTCACTAAAAATATATATTGGCGTTGTTAATATTAGATCATAAGATGGCAATGGTGCGTGTGGGTGCGTGTGCACGAATGGATCGACCAGAGAGATACCACGGCGTCACAAAAAACAGACGTGAAACAACGCTTGCGTTATGTTTCGTCGTTTCGAGTGAGGTTACCGAGGCCCTATTACTCCCTTCCCCGATCTCCAACAATGTTCAAATTTCTAATCCCCAAAGTAACGCCTCTTGTGTTCATGACTTCATGGGCGGCGCTGATTGCTTACGATCAGGTGATACGTCTGCTCGTTTACTGGCTTATCCCTTAAAAAGAAAGAAGGAGCCGCTGAATACAGACTGTTTGCAACTAGAAGTCATTGTCAGAGGACTTATTGACACTCTCGTGGCCCTTGGTTGATATAATATTGGCCCAGAAATATAAAACCAATCTAATTGAAACTATGGCAATACTTACTTTACAAGAGCCTGCGCGAGTCGTCTGCCGATGTGGTCCATGGAACTAGCGATAACTCCCACACTCGCGTGCCAACTTATTTCTTTCGCTACCCAATTGTGACCGAGCGGTGTTAGAGATTTCACGACCATAACGTCTGTGTCCAGATACACTCCCCCCCAATTGTACAGTGTCAAGAATCTAAAGACATCTGAGGCGTGCTCTACGGGCCAATAGCTCTCTTCTAACTCCCTACTTGCTACTAAGCCGTCCAAAGGGGTGTTCTTTGCATATTCCTCTATGTGCACTCTAGCAAAATGTACGTTTGGTAGGAGCCGTAATTTGGCTATGCAGCTTTTCTGATACACCACCTCAATAATGGGTCCACTGAACAGAACATAGATTTGTCTCGTTGGATGTGCCCTCGCCGCAGACTCGATGGAGCACGCCTGACGAGAGTTTAAGCCTCCACGACATGATGTTTCGTGGAAGAATATCGAGTTAAGCTTTGGCGCAAAGTTGGGACCTTCAGCCCATGGAAGCACATCCCCTTCATTACTATAATAACACGCCAAAAGTTCTGAATTGTTTAAATAAGATCGAAATCCAAAATGCTTAAAGTATCGTTGCTCAAGTAATACATCTCTCAACTTGACATGGTAAATGACACCAATAAAAATAATTGCAAAGATTACATTTTTTCGTAAATAAAATATTTTTCTCCGTGTCTTTAGTGAGTACAATTTGTAAGTTATTTTTCGGATTAATTTGTTAGAGTTATACATTTGTTACAGTACCTACTTAAAGCAAGTAAAACCGAATATTTTAAACGAACACTTTATCAACTTATGATAATAAACAAGCATTTAGTTGTCTACTTCAATTGACTTCAATACAGACAGATTGTAATTAAGATGTTGAAAAAAGTTGCTTCTCAAAAGAAGCAACCTTTTTTCAACGTCTCTTGAAACAACAACAACTTCTTTCAAGAAACTACTACGACGACGTCCGCCTATTTTCAACGTCGTTGATTGTACATAACAATAATTTAAAAACAAACAGTTTCCTTGGTTAATACAGTTCATCTGTTATAAAAAACGGGCATAATATTATAGTTTCCGCGTGGTTACTGACTCACATGCGATTTTTTTTTTATTTTGATTTCCAAAAAATACTAGAACTGAAACAGAGAAAGAACATTTTATGCATTACATCCCAACTTACCTATGTGTAGGTAGCACACAAAGAGTTATCTGACCACCACAGATGGGCCCAGCGGGTGATGTCTGATACGGAGCCGCGGAGAACTTAACAGGTTGCCGGGTCTCCGGCTCAAAGGGCAGGAGTAGGAACGGGGTGGTTTTTAGTCAGTAAGAGTGACACTCCCTCTCGCCTCACCCAGGCGGGAGGGAGGGAAGCCATTCGATGAAATTACCCATAAAAAAATACATGTCATAAATTAGAGGGCATAGTCTCTGAGCCATCTTATCACATGGGGAATCGTTTTCTATAGTCTTATCGGAAGTAATTTTGTTCCATAAATGATGAGTGTAGGCATTGGAAACGTTCCTCAGCATTCTGCAAGAGCAATCTCTAGGTTTGAAATAACCGGTACATCTGGTACCGGTGAGTTACCGTAAGTTTAAGTCTACCACCCGTTTTCAGCTTTAGTTGTTTTTAGGGTAGCCGCCCCTCTAAAAGAAGTTATTAGAATAATCCAAAATGTTTTTAGGTAAATGTGTTATAAAAAGTCATAAAATTAATTACAAGCTGTAAAAATCGCCTAGTTTGACTACTGTAAAGTGATTCGTAATTACAAAATAGACCGTGGATGCCTAGTATACCAAAATTGTCTTAGTTTTTTTTTTTTAAGGGGGGAAAATCATCTAATGACTGCTCCCGCCTGGGTGAGGCGGGAGGGAGTGTCAGACTCTTACTAACTAAAAACCACCCCGTTCCTTCTCCTGCACGTCGAGCCGGAGCCCCGGTTACCCATTAGGTTCTCCGCGACTCCGAATCGGCATAGGCCCTATTGGGCCCCATCTGTGGTGGTCTGATGGCTCTTTGAGGCGCGCGCGGAACGCGACGCGCCGTACGCTCGGGTCTGTTTCTGGTCGGACGGGGAGCCACCCATGCTCGCCGTCCGCAGGCCCGCGCTTACGGTGGCCGGAGATCGTCCCGCGATCCCCGACGCCCGGTGTGTCCTTCGCGATGGCTGGGTTGCGAGGAGGCAGCGCTTCGCTGCCTCACGCGTCCCGCCTCCTCCTTAGCTAGCATGACTGCTTCGCAAAAGGAGGAGACGGCATCCCAGTCCCCCTCGCTCCGCATCATGGCCTGCACTAGGCCCGGACGCGAGAGGTCGCCATCGCCGATCACTTCCCTGAGGACACGGCGGTGCTCAGCCCACGCAGGGCATTCCGCGACAGTGTGTTCCACCGTGTCCTCAGGGCGGTCCTCGCAGTGATGACACCCGGACGTTTCCTCCCGCCCCATCAGATACAGGTACCTCCCGAAACTCCCATGTCCGGTGAGGACCTGCGTCAGGCGGTAGGTGAGGACGCCGTAGCGTCTCTCAAGCCACTCCTCAAAGAGGGGACTTACCGCTGCGATGGCAGCGAGCCCAGCCCTCGGTTGCGACAGTCGTTGCTGCCATTCCGCCATGAGATCGCGCCGGAGCTCATCCCGCCACGCACCTATCTGGCGCGGTAGCGGGGTTTCGCCCCGGCAACGTGCCTCCGCGCGCATGCTGTACACGCGCGCGAGCACCTCCGCCTCCAGATCCCACGGCGGTAATCCGGCAAGGAGGTTCGCCGACTCCCCAGAGATCGTGCGGTATCCGCGGATCATTCGGATCGCCATGACCCTCTGTGACATGGTCTTAGTTGGTATAAGGATTATTGGTGGATACACAAAATATCAATTTTTATATGCTTTCGGGATAGTAGGAACAGAAACTACAATTAGACTCGGAAAGGCTGACTACTTGAAAAAATAAACCCTGGATAGCAAAATATTTTACATTCCAATTTTGATAATAGAGATCGATTATTTCGCCACCATACCACAAGGTATTCAATAAATAGAACTACATACTTAAAATAAAACAATTAAACCACTATAAAATAAAATTAAACCATTTGTAACTTAGTTTTTAATTACTTTTTCTTCTACTTTCACTGTATCAGCATAAAACTCATGGCGGTAGGTATCATAAATAGTCGGACAGAAAGTTTTAGCCAGGATCTGGTACACGGTACCCTTATATATGGTCATGTTGTGGCTCAAGAAGTTCCACATATGATACGTATATGGACGATGTAAGTCAAATCTTTCTGAAGGCGGCTGAAATATCTCGTCGAGTTCCAAGTAATAATGAGGGTAGAAAAGCTCGAAATCGAATATCTTGACACCTGAAAACAAGATTTAAAATATTTAAGAAGTCTTTATTTACTTTGTAGTAGAAGGTCCTCGTAGAGTCCTTTTGCCTGGGTGGGATAAAATGGTAAATTTTTTGAGAGTAAGTCGCGCTAGTTTTTCGTCCTTCATGTAGATTTGAACATAGTCTTTACCAAAAGAAAGAAGGTAGATAAGAACCGACCCCAGTAATCATTGTTAATAGGTTTTCAACTTTTCTGCGAAACATTAAGGTACAATCTATCGTCTACCGTCCCTGAACATTATACTAAGAATAGTAGAACCTACTAAGTAGGTACTCTAGATTCACTTTCTAGTGAATCTAGTGTACTTCGCTTCATAATGAAGCTGAACCCATACAGAGTTACATAGGTACACTTATTTACAGAGGTCGATTAAACCTAGAGAGCGCCCTACGCAAGCCCCTCATAGGCCCTACTTTTTTGGGTCCGCCACCACTATATGACCACGCGCGTCTCGCGGCATCACGTTACTTGCGGTCCCTGGAGCCCTAGGCACTTGCCTAGTTTGCCTTTGGGATAATACGGCTTTGCTTGTTTAACCCATCGTGTGTCTAAACATGGATCCATGCGAGACACAATGTATTTTCTATTGTGTCTCATATCGGTGCATTCAAGTGGTATATTAAAACTTACCTTTACAGTCTTTTACAGGTATTCTTTTGGACATGTTCAATTTTGGACATAATCTCCGCAGCACATCTTCTATTGTGTCTGCGCCATTAACCGACCAACTTGTTGGATTGTAGTTTTTACTGATATCTCTAATAACAAAAGGAAAGAAACTTGAAATTCACTTCCTTATTTAAGTGACTGTTTATTGGGTGGAAACTAATTTCTTTCCGACCTTAACGAGGGTATACCTATGTAGTAATATCTATTTACCTCTACAGTGTAACTCAATCTGTTTAGCTATAGGTAACAGTCTTTGCCCTAGCGGAAATAAACAATACTTGGTAACACTTATGTGTACATTAAATTAATGAAACAAAACAAAACCTTACTTCAATACTTCACGCGTAACTTTTTTACCGATATCATCGTTTCCAAAAGACATAACGCCTGATGCGACGTCACCATAGTTTTCCTCTGCAATGAAATTTAGAGGGAGTTGTTCTAGTGACCGGGTGACTATAATGTCAGTATCTAGATATAACCCGCCCCACTTGTTAAGGGTCAAAATCCTGAGTATATCGGCAGTATGTTGTACTGGATATTTACTGTGTTTTACATCATTAAGTAATATTGACTGGACAACACTTCCTTGTGAGTACTCAGATACGTGTAACTGTAGAAATTGTATATTGGGGAGCTCTTGAAGATATTTGAGGCAGGTGGTTTTAAGTGCGTGGCTGGTGACGGGTGAGCTGAAGAGCACATAGACTTGCCATTGTGGGTGTGCCCTGGCGGCTGCTTCCACGGAACAAGCCTCTCGAACAGTAAGTACGCCACGACGTGAAGTCTCGTGAAAGAAGATAGATTTCCCTTTAGGAACAAATGTCGGATCTTCAGCCGATTGTAGCACGTCTCCCCAGTTATAGTAATGATAGAAAGTTGTCCCTTCAATTACTAAACGGACACTTTTATAGAATAACACTAATATTATCGCGGCACTGAGACGAGGCCTCGTTTTGAAGAGCGAAGCTTGTGCGTGCATTACTATTATGATTTTATGATGACTTCGAATTTTGGCACTTTCTGTTATTATACTAAGTATGTGTTTGCGGTTGTTAAATTAATGTTGTACTAATAACTGACGTTATTGAAAAGAATTTCAGCTTATGTTTCATACAGGATAGGATATGAAACATGATTTATAAACAAACAAATGGACTAGAATAATAAGTACAAAATAATATCAATATTATGTATAATAATAGGCCTTTTTGAGAAGGGAAAATCGTATAATGACCTCTCCCGCCTTGAGTAAGGCGAGGGGGAGTGTCAGACTCTTACTGACCAAAAACCACCCTGTTCCTACTACTACTCTTGTAGGCGGAGCTCCAGCAACTCGTTAGGCCTTCCGCGCCTCCGTATCGAGCATCAGCCCTATTGGGCCCCATCTGTGGTGGTCTGATGGCTCTTTGACGGCTCTTCACGGGCCTGGTTGTGATCGGACGGCGGGCTGCCCTTGCTCACCGTCACCGCCCGCAGACCCGCACTTACGGTGGCTGGAGATCGTCGCGCGATCTCCGACGGCCGGAGTGTCTTTCGCGACGGTTGGGGCGAGAGGAGGTTCCTTCCCTGAGAACACGACGGTGCTCAGACCACGCAGGCCATAACGCCACCGTATGCTCCACCGTGTCCTCGGGACGATCCTCGCTGTCGGGCGTTTCCTTCCGCCCATTCAGAAACAGGAACCTACTTAAACTTTCGTGTCCGGTAAGCACCTGCATCAGGCGGTAGGTGACGACGCCGCAACGTCTCTCAAGCCACTCTTGAAAGATAGGACTTACCGCTGCAGTGACAGTGAGCCCAAATAATAGGCCTTAGGCTCATTGTCCACGTAACTGCACGTCATAAGTAGGCTTTCGTTAATTGACGATTGTATGACGATTACAAGACGAATGCTTGCATCTTAAAAAAACTCAAACTGTGTCGACGACTGTATGGTCGTCGACACGACGCGTCATTTGACGATTATAATCTGCATAAGTGAGGGGTGAGTGAGTGAAAACTTTATTTCTGGCAACAGTGACGTCAGTCGTTTGACACAGACAGTCGTAATGTCAAACAGATTTCATTTTTGACCTATGGATTTGACAGACGATCTGTGTTACTTTACTTAGTTTTTTGTATGCATTTTTCTATAGTTCTATTTTTTATTATCTAGCATAGCTACCTATCTTAAGAGGATCTTTCAATTGATTTGTGGACTTATCTATTTGTTCATAAATATTAGAATATTCTAAAATATCAAAACAACAACTTACCAACATGACTTCAAGTTTATTAGTTCAAAAAATGATGTCAATAAAACTAAGTACAGGCGAGTTCGAAAAAATAAAATGGCTTAGATCCAATAATAACGAGAAAACATTTAAAACAGTTTCGTAAGTACATACCTACTACTAATTATTTTATTTTTCCTTTTTACTAAATTTAATAAACAATACCCTTTCGTAGGATACTTGTGCTAATCATTTACCTACATTATTTATTATAAATATTATACGTAATACTTGAAAAAAATATAATTAACCAGTATAAGAATTATATTCAAGCTACTGGTGCTTATGGGACAGAACCCTGGGTAACCCGTTTACTAATAAATTGTCTATCAACATTCGCTGTATGAAGATCTAGAGGACATATTTAATAATTTTGTATACTTCTGAAATTAGCAGTTACTATCTAGACGTTGTTTCGACATACTTTAGATGAGGTGTAGTTTTTTGATCTCGAAGTCTGCTGAGTAAAGGGTCTCGGGTTTGATTCCTGCATTAGGGCAAAGTTATAGATCCTGTTTCACTGTTTCAACAATTGCTCTGTAGTAACACTGAGTATAAATTATGACTTCTGGTGCTATTGTGGATATGAGAATACGGGCCAGTTGGGGACATTTCTCATGATTACAGGCTATTAGATCATCAAATATAACTGAGTTAGCTGATGCTAACTCAATACTTATCATATAAATCTCACCATAACTGGTTTTTTCAGATCACTAAGAAAGTTATTACAAAATCCAAAATACAGAAAAACCTGCAGACTGTGTCTGAAACCGGCCAACAAGAGGGTGTTTGATGGCAATGATTTTGATGTACCTGTCGTAATCAAACAAATGTTGCAGATACAGGTACCTACAACTTTTGTAAATACATACATAAATAACTTCACGCCTGTTTCCCATGGGGGTAGGCAGAGACTTCATCAATAGTCATCAATCTTTTCATGTATGCTCGTAGGTTGAGGGTACTTTTAATTTAGCCCTTCTTTAATATATCGCCAATCTGGGCAGTATACGTATGTCCATCTAGGGCACCCTCTGCAAACAGCCCTAATCATATCCGCTTTTGTAATAATTTTTTATATATTTTTTTAAACATTGGATATATCATCACAGGCACATGTAATATGATACATGCCGTTACACTTTCAAGTAAATCAGTTACTACTCCTTTACCACATAAACTCAAGAAATAAAATTAATATAAATTATACTCCTGCTCCCATTTCACCGCACACTTGGGACATGAACATAGCCCTATCAATTTTAATAAACGAACATGTCTAAGATAGTTATTAATTACCTAGGTAACCCAGAATGATGATAAACCACAGTACATTTGCAATGCATGTGAAGTAGTACTCCGGAATGCTGACCAGCTGAGGCAAACTGCTGAGGTCACCCAGTGGAGACTGCAACAGGAACTTGAACTAAGTAAGACTTCTCTACAGAAATTTTCTTAGGTAAAAAAATTAAATTGTAGATATCAAAAAGTATGAGTGCCTATTCTCACTACCCTCACCGAATTAAAGAATCGTTTAAGCTAAATAGATGACTTAACATCATTTTTGTTTTCATAACATAACATCACGCCCTTTATCCCCGAAGGGGTAGACAGAGGTGCACATTACGGCACTTAATACCACTGTACAATGTAACACCCACTTTTCACTTTTTATGTTATGAGTCCCATGCAATAGGGGCCAGCTTATGGCAATAGAGCCTTCAAACCTTCAAGAGAAGAGCGTACTCCTTTTTAAAGGGCCGGCAACGCACCTGTGACTCTTCTGGTGTTGCGGGTGTCCATGGGCGGCGCTGATCGCTTACCATCAGGTGATCCGTCTGCTCGTTTGCCTCCTATTCCATAAAAAAAAAAAAAAAAAAATGCCTGGCGAGGCCTGAGCCTATTTTCCTGCCTGGGTTCTATTTTGTCTGCTTACCCCTATAGGATATGGGATATAAAGCCTGATGATTATAAACTGAATAGGAAAGGATCAAATGATATTTTTAATCAAAAATTTTTTCAATACCTATTATTTTGAAATTAAAACCAAACACGGTCCAATTAAATCCAAACGAGTAGGTACCTTATTTATTTCTATTTACAGTGACCAATATGGAATCAGATTCTGAAGAGAAAGAGAAGAAGCCTCATGGAGGCTACTTTGTGAAAAAAGGCGCGACTGTCGTACGGGAATGGATTTGTGGAAAATGTCGACAAACATTTGATAGCCAGGTAATTGATGGTGATGCTACGGAAAAACCAGCACACTATACATTTTTTAGTAAACCAAAGATCGATTAGGTATTATTTATTTGATTGAAAGTTCGGTGCGGTGAGTGGGTAACCGGTTGCCGCGCAACGTGAATCCGGTTCGATTCCCGCACCGAGCAACTCTTTGTGTGATCCACAAAGTGGAGTTTCGGTTATGTTATATATCATTATGTATGTAGTGTATATGAAATTGTATTGTAATCGCACCCACGCCACATGAGATATTCCTAATGTGGAGCAATGTTTGTAAGAGTAGGAAGAGAAAGAAAAGATTTATTATTAAATAATAGTTTGATTAATTCGTAACAAATCCTGCACGTCACAACTATGTGTGCCAGACCCAGGTGTTGTGTATTTTTGTTTATAAATGGCCTCGACATTACGCATCTAAGTAAAACCGTTATTAAACGAAAATTTTCATTGGGTATTGCATGAATTGACTAAACATCCTAAAATAATTAGATGGTATTAACTCAATTTATGAAAATTTTTGTTTATAAATGTAGTGAATGTCTTAGATCAGGGCCATGGGCCACTTTTAATAAAATATACCTACTTAATACATACTTAGTTGATTAGACTCGTAAGTAATTTTATATGCTTGTTTTATCAGAAGATGTTCACGGAACATGGAAAACTGCCGTGTTCTCGCGGCGAGAAGAGTTTCGTATGTGAAACGTGTGGGCTAGAGCTGAAGTCTATGACAAGATTGAAGAGACACATGTAAGCAAACCATTGTCCTCGTTCAGCTGCATGAAGTGACTGCTTCTTGATCTTCTCTACTCCCTACTAGACTTTAGTATGTACGTAGGTATTTCTATCATTATTATTTAGAGGCAATCCACTAAATACGTCACACATTTAGGGGAGGGAAGTCGACGTTTAGATACTTAGTGTGACAAATGACAATATGGTGGGAGGGACCCCAAACCTGTGACCTCACAATTCAAAAACTATTATAACCTGTTTATATCACGAAGTTGAAATTCGTGTGACGTATTTTATGGATTACCCTTACCTACCTAAATATTGCGAAAAGTAAGTACCGCTTAGGTACAGTCTAGTCTAGTCAGTCAATGTTTATCATTGCATATTGCATGTGGTACCTACTTGCTACTTAATTAGATTCCCAGGTGCATGTAGCGTATACCTACCTAGGTACAGTACATTACATAGGTATTGTGAAAAAGTTAGTTGATATGGCACTATCCTTCACAACGGTAAGACAGGAACTAACAGTTTGCATAAAAAACTTTTTGGGTTGTCAGTTTTGTTACTTTCTTAGTTAGATTTTGGTTTTAAGATTAATTAAGCAATATCCAGAATTTGGTCTTGATGATGTTACTATGTACGAATTTCAAAAACCAATCTAATTGTTTCGACCGTACTGAATGAATTTAATATTTCTAGGCTTATCCACACTGGGGAGTTGCTGTACCCATGTGTTCAGTGCCCATACCGTGGTCGTACTAAATACGCGCTGATGGTTCACGAGCGAGCTCACAGCGGCGAGCGGCCCCTGACCTGTCCACACTGCCCCGCCACCTTCCTCAACTCTTCAAATCTCGCGTCGCATAAGAGGAGACATCTTCCGCCAGCCTATCATTGTCATGTGTGTGTCAAGAGCTTTAGATTTAAGGAGGTAATGTTTATAATTGATTGCACCTTATTTATTTACTAAATACTATGTTTACTTAAATTAATTATTTTAAACCCTGATGCAATCATACCTACCACTTGAACTCTATAAATTTTTGTTCAAGCTAATCATGCAGCATCATCTTGATGAGGTTGGCGGGTCTAAGATAAATGTTTTTACCGCTACATATTCCTTTTTAAATAGGATAAATTATTTTATAGGCGCTGCAAAACCACTTGGCTACACAGCATAGCACAGCTAAGCCCCATGTCTGCAATGCATGCGGAAAAGCCTTTTCAACCAGGTATGAATAGCAATATGTATTAAAATGCTTGCAATTAAATCAATCCTTTTGATGTTAAGAACAAAATTCCCTTTATAGTTCAATTTATTTTAGTCCACTAGTAAATGAGCCATAGTTCACCGCTGATTTTGGAAATTGTAGGTAATAAGCAACTCTGAGATAGTGTTCAAAAAACCTATGTAAAGCTATGTAAGCTGAGAACTAGCAAAAAGTAGGTATTTCATTTCAATATATTATATCTCTACATACCTACTTCATTAGGGAATACCTCCATAACTTATTAAGAATACTTACAATATAATACTTATTCCATTCCAGAAAGATGATACGCCGTCACGAACGTAGAGTCCACAATAGACCGAAGTTGCGTTCTGGAGTCCTGCCTACATACTTACGGCAGCAACAGCAGGAACAAACGACATAAATCCAGCTCCAAGTTTATCGCAGTATTAGCAGTTGTAATGAAGTCATACCTGCTTAGTAACATTAGTTACTAATGTTCAGATGTACCAGAGCAACGAAGTTCACCAAATGCTGACATTTGGTGGACAACAATTATTGTTGTAGATGTTTATTTATTTGAAACTATTTCCGTCAGAAACTTTTCAAGTAAACTTCAGTTGAGATTATGTATAAACATCAACTAAAAATAATACAAAAGATATCTGGAGTTGTTGAGCCGATTCCAGATATTTTTGTACTTCTGTTTAGCTAGAACTGTTATCTTGTAAAAATGTATATCAAGCAACACTGTTGTCAAATATTTATGTCATATAACTTTTGTAAAACATTTTTCTTACCCTATGTTGTATACAGTCTCTGAAAGAATTCAATCAATCTAAATTTAAAAAATTAGGTCATAAGTAATTCAATTTAAAAGTACACTTAATAAACATATAGTTATAAGCCAATGTATCTTGTTTATTTACACCTAAATTGTATTTTTTTTCACTCTTTATGAAGTTGTAACCTGAACATTGTTGTTGCTTTAAAATGTTCCATGAAATGCGTCATACACATAGATAAAGGGTGAATATATACAGAAATATGGTGAATAGATGTTCAACACAAAATATTATTTATTCACCCAGTTTTACGGTATATTGTCAACAGGCTTCAAACCCCTTTGCATGTGCCAAAAACTTCATGATCATCAACGATTCTACCATGTTTTTAACACCATTTATCATTTTTTTGAACTTAAAATAACAACAAAAAGATTAGGATCCTGATTTCACAAAGACCTGTAGCTATAAAAGAATATCAAGTCTTGCCGATACAAGTTTGTCTGTCTATGCACTAAGCACAATAAAGTTTGGAGAAAACTATTTCTAACAAAATATTGTTGCATTTAGATAAACAAATAATAACACATGTCCTAGCATCATCCTTATTCAAGTTGTAATGCTTGAAGAGCTTATGCGTTTAACTAAAAATATATACCATGGTTTTTAGTTTTGAATGGTAAACTTGTGTCAACTTCAAATTAAACATGGTATTTCAGTTTTAAATAGTGAAATAGAACTAGATATCAAAGATATTATGTTATTTAGTATCAACTGTAGAATGGAGTGCGGGTGAGAAGTTAACCTCCTACGCACCTGTCATCATTAAGTTTTTAAGTAAAAATACAACAACAAAATAGTTTTTTTGGATTTTATTATTAACTTACAGTCCTAACCGTCACATCACTTCTTGGCGGCCGCTCCTACCTTGGATTTCTTGGTACCACGCACCTTCTTCATCCTGTTCTTGCGTTCCTTGCGCTGCTTGCGTGTGGGCCGCTTCTTTTCATACAGGCCGTGTCTGGCCAGTCTGTGCTTAGGCTCGAACTTCTTAGCCAGGTCCAAGGTGTCGTAGATAAGAGCAAAGCCAGTGGACTTGCCACCACCAAAGTTCGTCTTGAAGCCGAATACGAACACAACATCAGGTGTCACCTTGTACATCTTCGCCAGCTTCTCACGGATCTCAGTTTTGCTGACGGTGGGCTTGCCGGGATGGAGGACATCGCATACCATCTGCTTGCGCGCCAACAATCTACAAAAATATCGAAAACGTTGTCACACATAACCTGTCATGGCGAGGCACCAACTTATCACAGTGATTATAACTCTCACTACTTTGAAACTGTTAGATTATCACATTTACCTGTTGGTCATGAACTTGCGCGTACGAATTGTTGCCGTTCCTTCAGTCATTTTGAATTATTTTAGAGATTTCGCCGTAAACGACGCACGTGTCTCCAACACTCACAGAGAAAAAGAACGGTGCCAATGTTGCCAGAAGTATCAAACATCAACTTCCTGCACAGACAACAACAAAAAATTATTTAAACAGTAAATTACAAAAAAAAAATTTTTGCATTTTTAATATTGATATATTATCATTTAAAATAAATTTAAGTTGCAACTGGATGTGCTGTTGTAAAATAATATAATTATTAAACCGTTATAGAGTTTAACATCATTAAAATCCGCTGTTTGCCTTTTTGCTGCGATAGTAATATTTTTTGTACATGCAACATTTTTATAAACAATGCGTTCATCATCAAGAATAATTGAGCCGCGTTCAGGTGTACAAAGTTTCTATTAAAAAACTATAAAGATTCTTTGTTTTTAGACGTGTGTTGAACTACATCGCATAATAATATTCTATAAATTTTTCTTGTTAAAGACAAAAATATTAAGGGAACGAAACAATTTCGCTGTTTTTTTCGCTGGCGTTTCTTGTTACTTTACCGCCTCGTATAGATGTTTTAATGTTTGATACCATTTATGTAATACATTAACCTTGACCCTTCAGAGTAAATGTACACTTCTTTCTTTTCGCTAATGGATAGATAAATATAGGTAAATAAGAAAATATTCGTTGGATCATGGAACTATCCACAGTTCTAAAATACTTTTCATGTTTTCAAGGACACAAGAACAGTCACCTTTATCAATGTTATTAAAGTTTACACTAAATCTAACTAGGTATGCTCTACCTACTCGTTCTTGTAAATATTTTACTAAGTTATCTTTTTACCTAGTACCTAACTACACAGGTCTCGTGAATGACATTTTCGTGAACTTTCGGTCGTAAATATTTCTAAGCATCAAATTACCTAATAAAAATACCTAGCCCTCAAGAGAATTCGGGGTAAAATATTGTCTTGTTACTAGACTAGACGTATTTTTACCCTCATAGGTAGTTGTTAGCGAAGTAATAAAACTAATAGACTGATGTTGAATACAAACAGGTTTTAGCTATTTCGTATGTGTTTAGTAGTCTACAATTTCACTAGCGGTAAGATAATAGCGCCTGATTATTGCGAGTAGCAAAATGATTACGTATGTCTCATGTTGTTCGTTCGCATTTCTTAGGGTACTTTAAAATTTATACTTTTTCTATTTCTATTTATAATGCAAAAATCTGTCAAGTTATTACGGAATAAATTCATTTGTGGTTCCAATATCAAAATTCGGAAAAAGTGTTGCTACCACTACTAACTACTTAACTTAGCACCTGTTACCAAATAATAGGAATCACAAATTTTAAAAGAATATTATGTTGTTTGTCAGCACATTTTAAGACTAAATTAATAACTCGGCTGTGTTCATATATTTATATTATAGAAATAAAAACAGTGTTTGCGTCACATTCTATGGCCATGGGTCATGTCATGTCTCATGTCTTGTGAAGTGGAACTTTCCTTGAAGCGATCTATTTTAACAATATAATACCACGCTTGTCGACAGGCTATTACGTAAATCACCCCCGAGGGATCTTATTCTTTTGCGTCAAGGCGGTAAGGCGCTTGCCGTACCTCGATAGCAACATATACATCCTAGATGCCTATGTAGTCTTAACGTACTTCCCTACTTAATTCCCTATATGATTTTTTCTATATTGGGTGATGGTAGGTAAATACAAAGAAATAATATAATAATGGAATATTGTCAATGTACCTATAATTGTGCGTTACAGGAAAATTAAAATTAATGTTCCCGCCAAAATGTTTCTGGCGATTAGTGGCGTATATGGACTGTGGTTGGCAAATAAGTTACTAATAATCACCATAGATAATTAATTTCGCATTAACTCAACATTCTAATACTGTAACTAATAACTATCTAGCATTCTAACTTCTTGCACATAATGCATATTTGTATGTGATGTCATGTCACGGCTACGAAACAAGGTTTCAGCCTGAATCAACCAGTTTGAAAGATCTCTGACCTATTATACAACAGTCCCTTAGTTATTGTACATTGGTTTGTGTGCAGCGGGGGAGGGGAGGTCATGGATCCTGGTGATGTCCATGGAGGCGCCACCCTGTCCTCCCAGAGCCACCCTTTATTGATCGCTTCGTCTCATGCCGGTCGTATATAGACCTGGGATACCGTTTTGAGTGGTCGTCTGACGATTTATTTACCTTAGAGGTTTTATGCAGGTTAGTAAGAATGTTAATATTTTTTTAATTATCTATAATTTGGTGCGCCATTATTACTAATTCATTCAATTTCAAATTTCGATCGATTAATGTAGTGAGAAGTCAACTGTTTTGTTTCCCGCGCCGTTCGTATATTTTTTTTATTTTAATTTAGTTGTTATTGGGATAAATTACCTAATGTAAAATGGATATCTTTTAAAATAAGTCAATTTGTGTTATATATAACTGAGTTGAGTCATGTTTTTTGAAGAATATGAAAGTGATTCAATGCCATGCGATTTATTTTTAAAATCTGTTATTGAGGCAGTGTCATTAATTATTTAATTATTGGTACTGTACATACATGCAATGCCGATCATGTAAGTAACTTTGATAACTTTAGACATTTTTAAACAGGTGTAGCGATTTAGTGACTTTAATTTTAAGATCAAAACTCGATTGTCGAATGAAAGTACTGATATTATGGTATCTAATTAAAAATTAATATTTAGGTAGGTATATTACTTTTATAGATCATAATAACTTCTAATTCCCTAATTTGTTTATATTTGCTTTTCGCAACGTTGTGTTTTTGTGCTATGATATTTATGTGAGGCTGGAGAGTGATGTATAGCATACATTCTTCCTTGGACTATGTGGGTGAAGCTGCGGGCGGAATGATAGGAATAACTGCAATAAGCATCTATTTTTAAGTGTAGGTGCATTACCTACAATATTTTATTAAGAAAAATTACCCTTGTTACCTTATTAAGTACCTAAGTACCTAGATCTTAATCTACACTGAGACAGGTTCTTAATTTCAATCGTTAGTGGACTCCTCGTTTTTGCTCATTGAGTAGACACTTCAGCTAGGCTACTAGACACTTTTTTATTTTTATTTCTCGGGTTCGATTCCCAGGTCAGGCAAAGTATTACTGGGTTTTTAAAAATCTCAGTAGTAACACGAAGTCCGGAAATGTGCCCGGTATATGGCAATAGGTTTGTCCCCTATTATTTGGGACTCATAACATAAATAGCGAAAAGTGGGTGTTACATTGTACAGTGGCATTAAGTGCCGCAATGTGCACCTCTGCCTACCCCTTCGGGGATAAAAAGGCGTGATGATATGTTATGACTATGGAGTGCTTCGCTTCTCTAACCCATGTGGCCTTCACGGTTTACGATCCACCTTTGTTGCGCTATATCATTTTATGAATAATAATATGAAGTAGAAATCTATTTCACTATAAAGGTCCGCTAAGAAAGGGTTCGTTGATTCGATCGACGATCGAATTAGGTAAGGATGTAAACAAACCGCACCCTCCATTCATTAAATAGATTAACTTTAGATAATCACAAAAATCATGATATGTAAAAACTGGTACAATCTTGCAGTTACGACTTCTATAGGGAATAAACAAAGACTGCCCCATTGGTTGAGTAGTCATTCGTGTGAAGTTCACACTGTGAACGTAGAACAACGACTTCTGTTCTGGGGTTTGATTAACTTAAACTGTCAAACACCAAGCGGTCACCGGTGACCGCAACCTATTGTTCTATACTTGTGTCTACAAAACCGGTACTCGACGAGTTAATAAATGCTATTGTGGATCATTGCTCTCATTCTAGTAGGTAATCAAAGGCCTAAAATCAAACGTAAAGTTAATCATAATAATTTTGTTGTTCACAGATATAAATATAGCTACAGCGAGCTCTGTATTCTTGTGTCGTCAAGTTGTGGCGCTAAGTCGCGCCACTTACCGCCAACACGTGTGTATGGGTGACGTCACTGAGCAGATCCTACCCCGGTTCTTAATGGTGGCCGGTCAAAATAAGCCAAATACTTTGAAACTTAACAGTGTGGCAAGGCAAGCCAGCCGCTATTCCGCCCGAGACCCAAGATTAAGAACCTAAATTTACGAACAAACATCCAACAACTTCCAGTATTTTTCTATGGTATTATTTGTAGTACAAACGTAAAAATGGAACAAGATTGGGAACCAGTTATTTTGAGATCTACTAGGACTCCGAAGAATAGGGAACTGGTCAGAGAAAGTGCTGTAAGGGAATCTCTTCTGTCTGACTCCACATCAGGAATATGCAAAGGCGAAGAAGATGATACTACTAGTGTTGGCACTGCTTCGTTCTCGAGCCCTGACCTAGAATTCAGTACACGAGAACGGCTTCCAACAATTCAAAAGAAACTCCCAAACTTGGGCGATGAAGCAATTGCATTACTGGATAAGCCGAAAGCTAATAATGTTAAAATAACCGTGAATCCTGCTGATATAAATATCGAAACTAGGAAAAATGAGGAAGGAAAATGTGATAAAGACAAAGTCAAGATACCAGATGGTGGGTGGGGTTGGGTGGTTGTGCTGTCTTCTTTTGTAATATCCATGATAGCAGATGGAATCAGCTTTTCTTTCGGATTACTGTACATAGAGTTTTTAGAAGAATTTGAAGCCAGCAAATCTACAACGGCCTGGATCGGCAGCCTGTTTATAGCTGTGCCACTACTCTCCGGTCCTGTGATGAGTGCTTTGGTTGACAGGTATGGTTGTCGTAGTATGACTATTCTTGGTGGCTTGATTTCAACATTGGGATTTGTTCTTGCCTCGATTTCTACGAGCCTAGAAATGATGATGATTACTTTTGGAGTTATTGCTGGTTTGGGTCTCGGGCTGGTGTACGTTACCGCTGTCGTATCTATAGCATACTGGTTCGAGAAAAAAAGGAATCTGGCGGTTGGCTTAGGAGCTTGTGGTACTGGCGTTGGAACATTCTTGTATGCACCTATGACACAATACTTTATTGACGAGTACGGATGGAGAGGTACAATTCTCTTACTCTCTGGGACACTTTTGAATTTATGTGTTTGTGGATGCGTTATGAGAGATCCAGAATGGTGGATAGAAGAACAGAAACGACAGAAGAGCAGTAGAGATGAAGGAAAACTTAAGAAAGATGATGATAAGTCTAGACATTCCAGTTCAGCTTCAATTTCTGTTCCATATGTCTTTGATTTCGATGCACCAACGCGTGGCAAGAGTATGGTTGGCTTGATCAAAAGAGGAGTTTCTCCGGAAAAGGTGATCAAACAAGAGGCAAATAACATCAAACGTCACCAGGAGATAATGAAACTTAAGAAAAGTAAACGTTTCAATTCAAAATCTCAATCCGTAGAGAACCTACCGACGTATCTCACTTACAGCGAGAAGGTAGGTACCTTTTTACGTATCTTGGTTAGCAACAGTAGGCAGACGAGATACATCTACAAATATTTATTATGGCAGTAACAGTTACTTTGTTTTTCAAAATCTCTTTTTTAATTAACTTATCTAGTTAGTAAAGTAAATAATTAAATACTTAGATATCATTATTTTATGATATGTGGTTAAAATACATTTTACTATTTCAGTTATCAATGGGAACATTAGATACATTAGTAAAAAAGACTAGCAGGGCGTATGGGATCGAGGTGAAGTATCCAGCATTTGCCATAAATCGTACGAAGAAGCAACTAATTAAAGAACCGAGCAACGAAATAAACGACCCCCCTGTAGTTAAGTACACGAATGATGTTCTTCAACGGACGAATTCAGAGAAATATGAGAATAAAGATAAGACTTCGGATAAATATGAACTCAAGAATCCGAAGAGAAAGGTAATGAGAAAGGCTCAGTCTGAAACGAAGGATGACAGAGAACTGGTAAAGCAAGATAGTAAAGAAAACAGAAAAGATTGGTTGAAAAAGCAACTGTCTGTAAATCATCATTATTTGAGAGATTTGAAGATGCCCTTAAACTCTATAAGCCACAGAAATGCGATGTTGAACATAAAGAGGTATAGGCTGAAGGCATCTTCATGTCCTGACATATTTAAGAACTCTATGATCACTATTGATGAGAAGGAAGAGGTAAGAAGTATTGTTAAGTTATTGTTTTATTCTACTTTAGTATAACATTCTTAAACGAGTCTTAAGGAATTTCTTGAATCAGATGTCAAAAGTAATAATTGAGATGTATCCGTGTGGCAACTTTGGCGTTGTTCATCAATATTACCTGTCGTGGTGGCCCGGAGGTTTAAGACGCCCGCTCCTCATGCATGAGGGTACAGGTTCGAAACCTACCAACGGCAAGTACCAATGTGACTTTTTCTGAGTTATATACTTTCTAAGATAATCTAGACACTACTACCACTGACAAACGGTGAAGGAAAACATCGTGAGGAAACCTGGGCTTATAATTTTTAATTATAAGTTTGTAATCGCCAACCCGCATTGAGCAAGCGTGGTGATTAATGCTCAAACCTTCTCCGTGTGAGAAGATAGGCTTTGCTCAGTAGTTATTTATAGGCTGTTGATGATCAATATTACCTTGTTTAAAATTGTTTCATGAAGATTTTATTAAATTCATGTTTAATTAATTTGGATCAAATATCGTCAGCCATTAGTCTTTTCTTAATCTCTTTCAGTTGTTTACCTACAAACACTAATTAAAACTTGTCCAACTGCTTCCAGAAGTGGTACGACGACTGCTTCAGCTGCCTCGCAGACATGTTCAACGTGACCCTTTTCAAGCGAATGACGTTTAACCTCTTGTGCTTGGGTACCATCATTTTGTTTATCTGGTTTATCGTGCCTTACTTCTACCTCGCCGAGCACATGATACATAAAGGGTATACTGATGATGAAGGCGCTGGCATGCTCAGCTTGATTGGAATTACTAATACTATTGGAATGGTGAGTTTGTTACTTCATATTTTACTAGATACCTCGTTTGCAGTATGCCTGTTTAAGATTTGCATCCATTACAAAAATATTCTAGCTAGTGTTTAGCTTGTAACAATTAGACAAATAAAATGCGCCTAAATAAAAACAATAAAGAACCTCTGCACATTGTATGTGAAATAGTAAGTATTTATTTCTATTAAAATTCCAAAATATTGCCAAAATGTTAGATATACAGTTTTGTACTTAATTCCTTGGCTTCTTGCCTAAAATACATATCTTGTAAGGTTCGCGTCTCGAGTCCTCGATCTTGGATTATCGCCAGTGTTTAAGAAATTGAAGACACTTCCATTAAAGTTTTTTTTAATGTGGTTGGTACAGTAAAGTTTACGTTTAACGACCTTTTTAGAGGACCTAGCTTAAAAATGTAAGGATTTTTTTGGGCTACATAAAGTAACTAAACCTATTATTCGGATACAGTGTAACTGAAGCCATTTCAGAACTTATTAAGATATTTTTCCCTTAAAAAAATGTGAGCCCGAACGTAAAAGGTTCGGTTTATCAATGACATTATGGAGCAGGAGGACGCAAAGCCAACTGTTGATTTTAGTTTTTTTTTGTAAGAATTGTTTTGGTAAATCTTTATTTAAGACAATAATAATAAATCTGCGTTTCAAATGGCGTATGACTCTGTTATCTGGTACTTATGTATGTGTGTCACGAGACTGATCTTGGTCTGGTTTTCCTCCAAGGTTCCCGAAACCCGAGGTGACTTGACATAACTGTGGTAGCACTGGCCAGAAATAGATAATATCCAGTTTCCAAATATCTGAGAGGACGCTGTTTGTGCCAAATTGTGGCTGTGTAGAATTTCTGAATGTATTTCATTATGAATGTTTTAACTGTGAAGTGTAGCGTATGATCACGATTTCTTGGTCATAAGACCTTTATAGGCTGACAATGATTAGGCAGGCCCTTCATATTGTAGAATTTTACTTTGTGTGACAAATTGTCTGTTAGATTGATACACGCTCTTACTCACATAGGTAATCATTTACGCACGTAGCATGAAATGTTATGACAATAGGTACCCTGTGTGATCGTCTTGATCATGTGTTTCATTCAGACTGCGATAGGAATTTTGAGATATTATACATGTCTATAAATCGTGTCGTAGTCTAAATTGAAATTGAAAAAAACCTAAGATACGTTACGTTAGTTCATTTTTATTGATGAAATATAATTTCTTCATTCCAGGTCGGGCTTGGCTGGATAGGAGACTTCCCCCAAGTTTCCATTGGAGGCCTATATGCTGTGTGCCTTGTACTCTGCGGTGCTTCTGTAGCAGCCATTCCACCAGCCGCAGCCACCAATTACTGGATTCTAGCCTCTGCTGCTTCAGCTTTTGGGTTGTTTTTCGCAGCGTCATATACCTTTACACCGAGTCTGTTGGTCAAGCTGGTTTCTTTGGACGACTTTACTTCGGCATATGGGTTGGTGTTACTCGCGCAGGGAATCGGTCATCTTATTGGTCCACCGCTGTCAGGTAAGAATCTAAACAGTATACAATTATTCTTTACACGACAAAGATAAATAGGGAATTAATTTTATTAACAAAACTAAAATTGCTTTTGATGACGAATGAGATTTTGTGAATTGGACAATCGTGGTGTTTACTGATTTAAATGAAATATCCTCAACTTTCAAATATTTTATTATGTTTTCGGCTTACTCACGTAGTAATTCGACGAGGAACTCGACTAGTTTCAAGCCATGCTAGAGGCTCATAGTCATGAGCATTAGTACCTATGTCTCACGAAAGTTACAATTTCAAATATTTTTAAATTTAAGTTACATTTCAAAATGATCTCATTGATTCCAGGTTTCATTTACGACGTGACATTATCCTGGGAGCTATCGTTCTACCTGGCTGGAGGCTGGATCGTAGTGGCAGGTATACTAGTCTCACTCATACAACCGGTGAAGAACTATCAACTTCGTCGTGCAGCTCTCGATAACGTCAGCGTGGCTTAGAGCCTTAGACCAAGAGAACACGTGAAATAGAAATAAGGTAACAATAAATTCTCTGATTCTAAAACTCCCTAAAGGTCGGTAACGTGCTTGTAACCCATATGATAATTGTAATTTATAGGTGACCAGTTATCACGTTAAACGCTCTATGTATATTATAAAATTCAATTTTTTGCGAGTGGCGCCACTAGCGAGTATTGTCCTGTTAGTCTAGTGCAGTTGCAGTCAAAAGTTTAATTTTCAAAAGTATGGGTAATTGGCAATACTAATCAGCGCTACTTAGTGAATGATATTTAAGCGATGATCCTGATTAAAATACATAAAGACAGTACACTCCAATGATTTAATGATGACGTAAATCAAGTCTGATTGATCTTTAAATAACTATTATGCATTTATAGAAAGATCTCTCTTGCGTAGACAGAAGAAATGTATGGAGTTGCCTTGCTTAGTCTAAGAGTAGTACCATAATTTATGAAATCACCTAAATGGCACAGTTTATTAAATTAACGGTTCCCATATTTTATTAAATTAGTCTTTATGAATATTTATTCCTGTAGTAATTTAAGTAACAAAATATTTATGAAAAAATGTAATCTTCGATAACGAATAATATTTAACTTCGCAAACGGAGTTCTAGTTTCTAAGATGAATTTATTAAATTTGAATTTTATCTATAGTTTGCTTGTAGAATTTTGTTCAATGAATTATATATAGGCAGCTGTTTAATGTTTAGTTATTAGGAATTAATTTTAGCAATAAAAGACACCAAATTAGATAAAATTAGGCCAAATTATACACACGCCTTCTTTCTGTCTCCATTTTAAAATGGAGTACCTAAAAAAAATATTTCGTAGTAATCCATATTAGATTATTATGAACCGACTACCTTTAACACTCGTTCATATACTATCTACAAAATACAATCACAGAAATCATTCCTATAGTTTACATTTGTTACACATTTCAAAGTTGTCTCAATTTCTCAGTTAATTGAAGGCGCGTCTGTCTGTCAATTGGGTCAGTTATTTAAATGAAACACCAATTTAAAGCAATTAAGATTATCCGTCTTGTATTGTGCAGCACGTGTTTCGGTAACGAGTTAGATCATAATTTCTTTTTTATTGCCTAATAATATCTACATATTTATATATTAATAAATTTTATAAAAATCGAATGATCGGTTATCCCTAAGACAGCTAGGCAAGTTGCTGGGGCGCCAGGCTAAAGTGTGAGTCAATAGAGTGGCGACGGAGCCAAAAAAAATTAGGAGCACCTATGTGGTGGTGGCCTCGGGCGCTCTCTAGGTTCAATCCGCCTCTGGTGAGATCGGTCATTGACGTCTCTGCTTATGATACAGTGTTCATTTTAACACTAAAAAGGTCGAGAATCGAACTGACCCAGCGGCAGTTGTAGGTAATCATTATTTTATTTTATAATTATTATTTTTTTTCCAACAAAAAATTATTAAAATACAATAAATAAAAGCCCAAAAGTTTCACGCACCTAACTTTAAAAATAAAAAAGATATGAGCTATCAAACTTGCAAAAGGGACTAAATTGGGACGGCGGCCTTTCTAGTGTTAAACAATTTAACATTTTTATGCAGTCACATTTTATGTATACGATATAAAAAAAAATGACATTTAATAAAAAATTTCATAGAAAGTACCTACCTAAATAATTAAAATTCACAATAAAAAGAACTGTTTTTTCTTAATAGAAGTTTGCTATTGATAAAAATATTTCGAATTGGGACGAATTGACGTCTTTTCGAAAACTTTCTGTCTTATTTAAGTACCTACCTACCAAAATTAGGACTGCCTAGCTTATTAAAAACATAACAGTGGTATATAGTATCTATACATAAATTAAATAAATTATAGAGAACCAAAATAAACAAATAATACTAGTAGATATAAATTAAAAATCGTGTGCCATGAGCCTTATTTGTAACCATATTTAATACCTATTTCTAGATAAAAATGTATGCAATTTTTAACTCTTACGAATAAGAGTTCTAGCAATCAGACCTTTGGTGTACTTAGTAAAATATATATCTAATTAATAAAAATATTTAAGAAAACGTGCTGAAGAAAAAACAGGATGATTTTGTAAAAACAAACATGAGCTCTCGGCCTAAGAATGTAGACTTACGATAATGTAGAGAGTGCACAATATAGGGAAATTAGTTTTTAAATAAAATTGTAATTTATTTATTTATTTATGTAACACTTTTATATGCACAATGTAATTAAGATGTTCTTATGATATTAGTATTTAAGCTACTGAATTATTGGTCCTATGTATAGTGACTTTTGAAAATGTTATACTTAAATATTAGTCCATTTAATCGAATGTTATTAAAGTTATTTATTGGATATTTTCGTTTTAATCTTTTATCATATAGAGACGCATCAATTTTATATTTTGCTCGATGCATATTATATCGAATAATTTATATTCCGTATCCATGCAATATCTGCGTACCTACTTCATGAGGAGAGCGATTTTTTCCAAACTTTTAACCACTTATGTTAAGTTATGTCTAATGCCTAATTTTTATTTTAATGTCCGTCTGGTAGATTATTTTAAAAAATTAGACACGTATTTTTTATTTTCTTACAGAAGTCGCGTGACGTCACTTCTATGTACATTTTATACTAAGAAATGACGTTTTAGCCCCCACTCCTATACTTTGATTCGTTTTATCTAAGTATTGTTTTATTATACGACAAAATAAACAAAATACGTGTCTAATATTTTTTCATTACCTAACTGACGGACTAATTAGATTTTTAATTTTCATACCCTGTCATCCCAATTCTAAAGAGACTGTGCTGTGAGAAATTTACGAAATATCGAAAAATCTTAAAAGGAAGAAAAAACTAGCAAATTAATGACAATTATACTTTATTATTATATCTTTTAATTTACGATATGGGTACGTGACCTAAGCTTGTTTCTTGTTATATTGTCTCTGATACATTAAATGACATTCTGTAAGTTATTATACCTAGACCTACGTGATAAATGCAATGTTTACTAACCGACTTTCCACAAAGGAGGAGGTTCTCATTTTATTATGCTCTTGTTAATAATAATAATTATTGTGACGATATAAGTAGTGCCACGTAACTGCTCTCAAGATTTTGCGCTTAGCAACACATTCAGCGATTATTTTTTATAATATAGAAGAGTAATATAACAAATAAAGGGAACCAATAGCTGTGATAAATAAGTGTAATAGTAGAGGTAGTTGCCTTTAACAAACAATGAAATAATGAATGGAAACAGAAAAATATGATACAGAAGTTAGGATTTTACATGGATATATTATAGTATATCTGTGGGATTTTACCACGTTTATATTTTACCTCCTTTTAAGTGTACGTTTCATCATCTGAACAGTAAAGAATATTTGTTTGAAAATATTATCTATCTTGGCCAGTGTGTTTATATGGAGATATAATTATCAAGTAATTGGATATCATCAACAGCCTATAAATGTTCACTACTGAGCAAAGCCTCTTCTCGCCCGGAGAAGGTTTGAGCATTAATCACCACGCTTGCTCAATGCGGGTTGGCGATTTCAAACTAATAATTAGAAATTATAAGTCCAGGTTTCCTCACGATGTTTTTCCTTCACCGTTTGTCAGTGGTGTCTAAGTATTAAGTAATCTTAGAAAGTACATATAACTCGGAAAAAGTCACATTGGTACTTGCCGTTGGTAGGTTTCGAACCCGCACCCTCATGCATGAGAAGCGGGCGTCTTAAACCTCCGGGCCACCACGACAATTAATTTTAATTGGATATAATTTGTAGATTTTATTAATATTGCTGAGTGCGATTTTATACTTTATGGCATCTTGCATTTATGAACGTGTACGTACAGAATATTAGAACATATATGTTTATTTAAATACATCTACAATACATACATAATATCATGAACAGACTATCGTGACCTCTACAGTGGACTAATCAGTTGCGATTAGCAGCTCTCCTACAGTGGTTCTCAGGGATCGAGAGTATTCGAGAGCTCTGCTATTCTAATAGTAAATTTTAGAACATTTAAAAATGCCTATACTTGTGTTAAAATGTAATTAAATCTAAGGGATAAAAACTCCTTTTGTCCGTTACCCTTGACCACATATTATAATGTCAATCCAAGTGTCAGAACAAAGTTTTGAGAGAAAGAAAACATACGATTGTTATTTGCATCATCAACAAAAAATTATTACGTAAAATTCCACTGTTATCTATCTGGATTGTTAAAGTTAAATAAGCATTTATATCTTAAACTGTGTAAACAATATAATTAACGTAAATGATAGCATTCGGAGAAGAAACATCGTGGTGCGAGGGCGCATTTTGAGTGCGAAAAAGGGTTTTTTTTCTGGAGCAAATTTCTTTTTGTGTTACAAAAATGCGGTGTTGTGGCTAGAGGCGCGGCACTCCCGCGTCTCGACACGAACGGCGACCTAAACTAACTGTCCAGATGTGTTTTGCCTGTCAAACCGGCCGCACGTGTTCGACTTATTTACAAAAATACAGTGTGAATTTTACGTATTGTGATCAGCTGATTGTGTGTACTCCGTGTTACATCGCTTTAGGTGGTAAGTACAGTTATTTTATAACTTATTATAAGTGTAATAGGTGCTAAATTGTGTGTTTCATTTATGTTTTTGAACACTTGCGTCATGGAATTCATGAATGAACGTCCGATGTGTGCGTTCGAACATTTTAGCATAATTCGAATGTTTGGAGTTTAATTTCATGCAGTTTGCAAGGAACTGTGTTATAAAGAAATATTTTAGCAAATAAACGTATTCGTTATGTTTGTTGTGTAGTATTTTTGGAGTTAGTAGTAGTTCATGAGAGTGAGTTTATAGTTTGGGGTCATTGTACCTTGAAACGTAAAAATATAAGTCAATGAGTCAGGTCCCCGGTTTATTATGCGAACTCGCGATCAGTGTATAGTACTGTAAACATTATCGGAACTTAGTGAACCTAAGACGTCCCGAAGGTATATTTCACAATTTATATAAGCAACTGTTATTTACTTTATCTATGTGTATATCTCAATTAAAACCAATTACTTGATAAGCACAATTGCCCTTATTATCATCTCGACGTTTACATGGTAATGTAAAGCAAATAGAATGAAAGAGAGAGATTAAAAAAGTCTTTTCTATCTCGCTCTGTAACTTGCACCGAGGTAAAATACTGTATGATTTTCAAGGAATGAGCCATAAAATATCTATGTGAGTCATAAAGTGACATTGACTCATTTATCATTAAAACATGGTATTTTTCTCTTATATTTTTTTTTTGTATTAAAAGGCAACCTGTCTATATTTTTCTGTATCTCTGGTAAATAGTTATGAGTTTTTTCTTGGGACAGGGGATTTTATGCTAGGTATTATTTTAGTAATTAATGTAGATATGCTAAAATCTTCAAAAATATATTTTTAGTCTAATATTAGGGTCGATGTTACAAACATAAAGATTTTTCCTAAACTCAACAAAAAACTTAGTATTTTTTTATTATTGTTTATGTATTTACACCATCTCTATATTATTATATTCGTCGTTGAATAACAGGTTCAATAATATTTTACAACGATATTATTGTTAACAATAAACAAAGATGGTCCTTATTTCTTTAACCACTTCTATTTCTCTCATCCCATAAAGCCGGTAACAGTGACAACCCACACATGGAAATTCATAAAATGTTATCAAAATGACAATAAACTAGATAAGGTTTGTTATCAATGATAGTGTGGAAACTACAGTTTCCGTAGGTTCAGATAGATCTGAAGACCTAAGTAGGTGGGTAGTTAGGTCTTCGGATTCAAATGATCAATTCATAAGACAAGCGATACAGAACTTTCTAGAAAGAATATCTTACGGGCTTTTGGCCTATTTATAATACCTAGTTGGAAGGATAACCAATAGATCAAATGTTAGCATACGTAGCATACTTATTAGCTATTAATAATTAAAATAAAACAGTTCATGTTGAGAATATCACCCGAAAATGTACAGTCAAGGACACAACAAGTTAGACTTGTAGTTATTTGTAAAAATCTGTAATTTAGACAAATATAAGCTCTGTTTTGTTTGTTCCGTTTATTACTTGAGATCGGTATCTATCGGACAAATACATAAAAACATAACATCACGCCTTTTTATCCTCGAAGGGGTAGGCAGAGGTGTGCCTAACAGCACTTATGGCTTATGGCACTGTACAATGTAACACCCACTTTCCACTATTTATGTCCTATTTACAGTGTATGCCTATTGCCATATACCGGGCACATTTCTCCGTGCTACTACTGAGATTTTTAAAAACCCGGTAATACCTTGTCCGACCCGGGAATCGAACCCGAGACCCCTTGCCCGACAGTCGCACTTCCGACCACTCGGCCAACGAGGCAGTCATTCCCATTTTTGAGAAATAATTCTTAGAAAAAGTGACAGTCACTTATGGATCAATTTAAAAAAAAAACTATAAAACACTTCATGATCAATGCAAGTGACGGACTTGTATTCTGAGATAACCTTTATCCCTATAAACCTGTATCGGTACCAAAGGACCAAAGTCTTCTACAAATGACAAAGGACCGACCGTACAATACAAATGTTTCAAACCTTCTCGAAGGTTCCATTGCAGGTAGCCGCACACGAGTTTATTCACCGCTTCGCTTAGCCGTCGCAGCGCCTTTACTTTCATACTGGCTTATAATATTTTGAATGTATGTATATTTTCTACTTTGACTATTAAGTTTAGAATCAGATGTACTGTTGAACTTAAGATTAATCTCACGATCAATCTCTTAAGGTTGCCTAATTCTATTTTTTTGGGTCATTCCGTAACGAAGGAAATTATTCCAGAAATGGTAATTTGAAGACGTGTAATTTTTTTATTTTGATGAAAGTCCTACCTAATGTAGATGTACCAAACCTATTTGGGTGAGATTATGGAGATTAAAACCTTCCATGGACACTTTTCGTGTATCTAAACACGGATCCACGCAAGAAAATGTATTCTCTATTGAATCTCATATCGGTGCATTCAGACAGTTAACTTGGTATTCTAAACAAAATTAAAAAAAAGAACATAATTATGCGATCGAATTGAGAACCTCCTCCGTTTTTTGAAGTCGGTCTTAACCGCTGAGGATGCATGAAAAGACTGATGACTGTTGATGAAGCGAAAGAGGTATGTAAGAATCGTACCAATTGGCGTTCCATAGTCTCTACCTACCATGAAGGTGAATGTGTAAACAAAACATTGTTGCTATTTATTTTTATAATAAGTAGTAGCTTATCATCATCATGATTACTTACATAATTACTAATCTATATTAAAAGAAATAAAGAAATTTTGTATCTATCGATAGCAAGATAATAGAAGATAATCTAGGAATTTAGATATTGTATTGTTATTATTAGGAGTTATAAAGGTCGTTGGCTCGTGTTATTGAAGTAGTGTTTTTTTGTTTGTTTGTTTTTACACAAATTTTTTATCCTTGGTACTAATTTTGTAAACGAGAAAGTGTGGGTATTCATTTGTTTGTTTTTCTTTTATGTTCCAACTATATTGTGGAATGTTTTTAGTGTCTGAATTTGAATGTTGAAGCGTAAAATAACAAAATAGTCAAGTAAATACCATGTTTTTTTGTAATTTCTATATACTAACAATAAACATTTCAGCTATTGAACTTATAATTAAAAGTCTATTCTCATAGTTTCGCAATCCCGCCCATCTTTTTTAAATAAATGTCATTATATTATATCGTGTCGTTATTCAAACCCAGATTCTTGTATTCTGAGTTTATTTTTGTGCACATGACGTGTGTAGACGCGGTCGGGTTGTTTGATTAGTATATTTAGAACCAGCAGGAGGTTCTTAGTGGCGAGTTTACAAATTGTTTTACGTCGCTCTAATTATTATACAGGCTGTAAACAGTACACTCCCGAAAACGCACGCAGGTGATAATAAAATCTAGTTCTTTTTTAATTTGAGTGTGGGATAGCCATGCTTCGATACGAATGAGTCGGCTCGACCGGAGTGATACCACGGCCTCACAGAAAATCGACGTGAAAGTGAAACAACGCTTGCGTTGTGTTTCGTCGTGTGAGTGAGGTTACCGGAGGTCCAATTACCCTAGTCCCCGTCTCTCGAATCCTCCACAATCCTTAAATTAGCAATTCCCAAAAGGCCGGTAACGCACTGGTAACGCCTTGGTGTTTCGAGTGTCCATGGGCGGCGCCGATTGCTTACCATCAGGTGATCCGTCTGCTCGTTTACCGGCTTATGCTATATAAAAAAAAGTAAGGAATTAAATGTTTATTTTATGTAATCAACTGCTCAAGGCTGATATTCATGAATAACACGAAAACAAAACGATTGAAATTGTAAAAATTGACTACGTTTTCGGATGCGTTCCGTTTACTGTCAGCCATGAACGAAGATTAACAAACTTCCCTTTTCTAGAGGACATCATAGATCAGGCTGTGTGCTGTCATGGGCTGTTGTTAAAATGGTCTTCAATTCCAATCATCATAGCATTCATTGTTTAGATCAGATGTTCTGAAAACCAACAATGTTTTCTAATCTAGAAACGTCAATAACTTTATCGAAAATGCTTTAATTTTGTACTTAGATTCGATCATTGTAACGTCGAATAAACATTCCGTTGAGCCAAACATGCTTTTAGCTTTATTTTACGACTTGATTTTTATCTGCGGCTTCACTCGTGGAGTAGGATCCGATGCTGACCACATATCTGGACATATCACCTACGTTGGGTACTTAGCTAGTAGTCCCTTGCCGGAGTCGCGGAGAACCTAACGGGTTACTGGGGCCCCGGCTCGGAAGTGCAGGAGAAGGAACGGGGGGTTTTAGTCAGCAAGAGTGTGACACTCCCTCCCGCCTCACCCAGGCGGGAGAAGCCATTCGATGATTTTCCCCCCTTAAAAAAAAGAGTCGGTGTCTGTCTTCAAGTCGTCAGTGAATAGGTTCCTGATAGGCAGGCATGCTCTATCGTCACGTGTCGTCACTACCACCAAGCGATTGAAAAGCTAAATAATAATGTACGGCGCGTCGCGTTCCGCGCGCGCCTCAAAGAGCCGATTCGGAGTCGCGGAGAACCTAACGGGTAACCGGGGCTCCGGCTCGACGTGCAGGAGAAGGAACGAGGTGGTTTTTAGTCAGTAAGAGTCTGACACTCCCTTCCGCCTCACCCAGGCGGGAGCAGTCATTCGATGATTTTCCCTCTTAAAAAAAAAACCTATTCATTACCTCTATATACAAACACCTCCATGAAATAGTGCGATATGTAAAGCAAGCTTTCGAATGGTAAAATATTTTTTAAAATTCGTGCAGCAGTTTCGGAACTTGCAACAAACTTCAATGCAAACAAACAATCAATTGGTTCGTCTTTAAAATATCACTGTAGATTTGTTGTATGCTCTGCTGTTAGTGACGTCAGTGTATGGGAGTCTGTGTGCGTAGAATATTCTAGTTAATGTAGGCCAGGGATTTCGTCTGTAGTAAATCTATATTAGGCTTTTTGTGTTGATGTAAGATGGCTGGCACGTGGCG